ACTTACTGCACTTTATATATGCGCAGAATGTGCAGTAAGCTTCAAGAATTTATTTGACTGCCTTCCCGGTCGAATTTTGAGCTGAAATTTGGTATGGACAAACTAGACTTGATGAGGAACATGCTCAAAAAATTTCATCAAAAAATTCCACCGGGAACCGCCCCAAACAGTAAAGTTCGGACGGTCCTTCCCATCCCTCCGGAGGGACCTGATCTTTTCTGTATATATATATATATATTATATAAGCTTGGTTCCGGTGCAAACCAAGCTTCCGGTGCTAACCTACACACTAATCTCATGCGTTCAAGTTTGGCAAATCAAAGGCTGTCAATATAGAAGCCACCGTAGCAGACCATGTGGTGCAACACACAAAACTGAAAACATACGGACACGGTTAGTAAGTAAGGTTAGCATGGTAAATTAACATTTTTAATAAATGAGACACCATGATACATAAGGAAATCCCAATAGTTTGGCTGACCCACGATTACAATTTCAAGCAATTTAGCAAATCAATAAAAGGGAAGATTTAATCACTTCCTAAATAACCTTCCTTTTTCTGAAACCTAAAATATTAAAGTTATGTAATATTATCCTTTGTTTTTTTTTAATCGCAACATGTTGAATTTTACACTATTCATATTTTGACTACATTTTACACTATTGTTTTATGAAAATTATTTTTTAAAAAAATATTGTTCAATTCATCTCATTACAAATTTTCAAAAACTTATTTTTAATTTTTTTACTAATAGAGAATAACATATATTTACGGTCAAATATGTGCGTTGACAAATGTGAAATGTTGACCGTTGAAACTAAAAAAGAACGGAGGAAGTATGCATTATATATTGATAATGGTGTGCATAGTTATGTTAGAACTTGTAATATACGTAGTATTAAGTTTTTATTATTAAGAACTCATCACAGGTAGAAATGTCTGCATATTAAGGTTACGAGATTTGCATACTAAGGTTGATGAATGTGCATATTAACTATTAAGGGTACATGATGTCCATTATATATTTATAATGTCTCCACAACTTATATTAAAACTATACAGTGATAAAATGTGTTGGCGCTGCATTTTATTAGTTCATATATTGCTTTTATCATTTTGACATGTGCACTTTAGAAGTTTTTATATTGCACTTCAGTAAATAAGCTTGTGCATTTTAAAAGTTCATATTACATCTTATTTTTATGATAGCTGCATTTTAGTAGCTCATATGTTGCATTTTATCCTTCTGATATGTGCATAATAGAAGTTTGTATATTGCATTTTAGTAAGGTGACATATGCATCGTACAAGATCATTTGATGCATCTTATAGTTGTGACATCTGCATGGTAGATTGGAGTGATATGCATATGAAACTTATGGTGTCGCAAGCTGCATAATATTTGACAAACGTCTTCTAAATGGTAAACGTTTTGCATACTAAATTACAAGAATTTTGCATCAACATGAAATTGATCATTTGCTGCATTGTAGAAGACCATTTGCTGCATCTTATCTTTATGACATTTGCATCGTAGAAGGCCATTTGTTGCATCTCATCTTTATGATATTTGCATTGTATACTCAATTGACATCATACAAATTTCATGATGTCGCATGAAGATGGAGATGGATACAGACAGATGTCTGCATCTATATCATAAAAATTCACCCCAATGCTCTGACAATTGGCTGCATAACCTGCTAATTGACTTTGTACCTCCTCAAACACCTATCCCCCTTCAGAACAAATTTGTGATGAAAATCCTTATAAGCAAGATCATCCCTTCTCTGTGGCCGTAGAAATTGTTTAGAAATTGACATTAAAAAAAGGAAATTAACGAAGACCACATATGTAAAACGAAGTTCAACGAATTAAAGTAAAGTAATTAAACAAAAAAGAGAAGGAAGATGATGCTATCAACGTTTAATATACACATCAATCAAATAAATAAAATCTTATGCATAGTGATTCATGAATACATTGAAAGATGATAACCACAAATTTCCAGTATAAAATTGGAGTTCATACAGAATACTAGATTCTATGGCGTTCGACAACAATGATTGAAAGAGATTAACCAGAAGCTTTGATATTAGTGACAGACGAAGAGAAGCAGAGAGATGGAGACGACTAGCTATTAATCGCAAAGATGGAAGGGAATTAATGAGAATTGCAAAGATGGAATGGATCTAACGAGAGTAGGCGGTTAAGGAATGGAACATGATTCTTCCAGTATTAGATTTAAGTCAAATGACTAAAACATCCTTATGTGTAATAAGCTTGTTGTCTTCAAATCTGTAGAACCGAACGGTTATCTAATTAGATGGAGGGCTAGGATTAGGTTTGTAGGTTAGCATATTAGGATGAGTTTGCATTTGATCTCTCATCTATATATATATAAAGATTTTGGAGTTTGAAGTAGGGCTGGGTCCGAAAAATCGAAAACCGAATCAAATTAAACCGAACCGCAACCAAATAAAACCGAACCGCTAAGAAACCGAAACCGAATGTAAAAAACCGAACCGAACCGAAGTTGTTCGGTTCGGTTTTGGTTTTTACCCTTCAAAACCGAACCGAACCGAACAAACCGAACTATTGAAAATGTGAAATTTATATGTTAATTGTTAAGCATTAATTCTAATTAATCTTAATATCATCAATAGTCTTTGATTTCTTTGGTTTTCGTGTGTTAGAGAAATAATGTTTGTGTTATGTTTAATTTAATTTAGTTTATAAATTCATTTACACATTCATTGTCTGTAATAATAGCTATATTGAATGATGATCATATGTGTTTACTAGTTATTAGTAGTAATTAACTTTTATTTTTAGATAACTTTAAGATTTTATATTGATAAAACAATAAATATTAATCTCAACTATATCACATAGAACACAGATATTCATGAAAAAATTTCAAACTACTCACAAACAAATTAAATCAATAATATATACAGTTTTATCTAGCTCGCATACTCATATAATTCAAGACATATTTATCTCTTCTCATTTTTATTTTATTTGTCGTTGTGTTGTGCTTGAATTCCTTAGGTAATATGTTTGATCCCTCTAAGTATATATTATATCAATTTTAAATCAAGTGAATAATTTTTGGTAAAAAAACCGAAAAAACCGAAACCGAACCGAAACAAACCGAACCAATCAAACCGTGGTTCCAAGTTTTGGAGTGTAAAACCGAACCGAAACCGAACCGAACTTTTTACTTTGATTCCACATTTGGTTTTAGGTCAAAATCGAACCGCAAGAACCGAACCCACCCCTAGTTTGAAGAAAAAACATCCCATGTACATTCATGGACCCATGGTTCATGGGTATACTTAACTACTTACATGAGTTTGGTCCTCGAGCTCGAAGGACAGAATGACAGATAAATCAAACATTTGGGATTTCATCTTTTTTTTTTATCTGTTTTGTTTTACGAAATATACTCTCCGAGTCTCCGCCATTAAAAATTCATTTGATAACCTCTATTTTGATCTTATGTGTTAAAATGATTTGCAAGTTTACTTTTTTTTAATTAACGTAATTTGGACTTTATTAAGTTATCCTTTTTTGAAAAAACAAAACAGTTTAAATTGATATCACAACATTCAGAAAAGGAACAAGTAGATCAAATGACCACTTCCATCTGCCGATTCTCAAACCGGAGTCAATTATCCCAAAAAACAATATGACTCGTTGATCCTGTAACAGATTTAAACGAGTCTAACGCGGTTTGAATAACTTTTTTAAGTTATTTGGAGTACCAATTTTTTATTATATTTTGATTCGGATTTTTTGATTTTTTATTATTGAAATTTAATTAAATTTCAAGTACACGTTCGTGTTAATTAATCAAATTTAATTATGGATTAACACATCAGTGATCTTATCTGGTCTAGTCTCTTTAGGCTTGATTCTCCCCAATCTGTATTGATTTGATAATGGTCTGATGATTTATGTGTATTATATGAGATTGAAAGTTTGAAACACTATCCAAAACAACTTTAATATAAATACATAACATCTTAATGACGTTGAGGCTTTTTTTTGGATCGTGAACGAGGAGTTGAGATTATTTTATGAGATTATTTGATAAAATAATCTGGTATCAAATTCTAAAGCTGGATTATTTTGAGATTATTTCCAACTTCTAGGCATATATACTCATAATTATTGTGATGACTAGCTTTGTAGTTCGTGCATGCTCATGCTCCTATCCAAGGTAAATTAAGATCATGAACGAGGAGAAATTTATTGGTTTGGAGATTATTTGAGATTATCTTATGTGGAAGTGACATGACAATAATAAGTCATGAAAAACTGTAAAGTTGAAGATCATTAATGTGGATGCTCTAATACACTCACTGCTTAAAATTGTTATGAGATTTATGGTAGTTTTGAACATTGTTTTCCTCTCAAAATAATTATGATTTCATGAATTTAGTGCATATTTAAATCTCAGAAATTCTTCAATGTTAATTCTTTTCGATGTTAAACGTGTATACAAATAGAAAAATAATTTTGAAACATGCCTAAATGTTTGTGCTATTTTCGAATGTACACAACTATTTGATTCAATTATACACTTACTAGTTTGAGTACACATTTTCATACACACATCTACACACTCATGTTTGTGAAAAGTATTTTTTTGTCTGTATACAGACATAACGAATTTTCAAATACGTTATGTCTGTATACAGACAAAAAGATACTCTTCACAAACATGAGTGTATATGCGTGTGTATGAAAAATGTGTAACAACATATTTTTTTTGTTAGTTAATTGAATGCAAGAGATTCAATTATGCACTTTGATCCCAAAAACTTAATTAGTTGAGCCCACACCAGTTTATTCAGTGCAGAAGTGTGTGACAGAATTAAGCTGGAACATCTAATCTTCATTGTTACACGCTAATAATTAAGGTTGGTGGGGCCAGTATACCAGCTTGTATATTCTTCAGGTCCTCTTGTCATCGTTCCTACAATCCTTGATGAGATCTCATCTCTCCCTTACTCTCACCGGAAAAAGAGAGAGGGATCCATTTCTTCTTTTCTTCTTTTCTTTTTTCAACATTTTCGTTTCGTGTACAGATTTAAAAGGGAAAACTATGAACAAGATGAGAACAGAATAAGGACTTGCTGAGATCTGGAAGTTATGAATCAGAGGTATCTTCAGCTCACTTTTCTAGTCTTCTCCTTAAAACATGTCAAATTTTCTTTATAATGATTTTTAGTACTGCGTTTTTCTCCTTTGTATTTTAAAAAAAAGATTTAAACTTTGATATATTCCAGGAGCAGAGTTTTGTGGGTCTACAATTTTGTGGTAGTGTAAATTGAGAAATGTGTATAGCTGTTCTTTGGTCTGTGTGGAAATGGTAGATTGGTAGAAATATAGGTTTGTATGACACCCTATTATGGAATGTTATTATGGTTGTTCTTGAAGTTCTTACTGTTAGTGTTTTAGTATCTGAGTTTGGGATCATCTTGCAAGGAGATTTGATTCATTTCACTTTGCTTATTATGGATTTCCTGGAAAAGTAAGTGAAATCTTAATTGAATTTGGGATGACAGTTTCCTTAGTTGCAGCTAAGATTAACATGGAGATTTGTGAAATGAGATATCACACTGTTTCATAACCACTTACACTTGCAGGCATTGATCAGACTCCTCAGAGATCTTTACTTGTTTAACTTCTTTCATGGTCTTTTTGCAAGTTGAATCAAAGCCCAGCACGGAAAAATAAGGCACGAGTATTAGTTTTTTCGTTTCCTAGTGAATTCTCGAAAAATTAAGGCTATAATTGGATCCCCAAAAATACTTGGGAAATCAATGATCATGTCAAGGGAAGTTATTTTGTTATATTTGGATTTTCCATAGAAAATGCTAATGAAAATGAAATATGATTGCTGTTGTAAAACATTTAATGTGTTTAGTCTATTTAGCATTTATGTTATAGAAATAAAGAAATAGAAATTAACTCAAACAAGTAACTAAAAAATATAAGTTCCAAAAAATTATTGGTTTTTGTAAATAAAATTCTCCCACAGTTTCCTTCGTGTTTTCAATCCCTTCCATTTTCTGTGCTCCAAACAGACCCTACTGGTATGTTTGGGTTCCAGAGAATGCTAGGAAAAGGAAAATCAATGGTTAGGACATTATTTTTAGGGTACATATGTTGTTAGTTTGGTAAATATGAGGGAAAGTGATATGTGAATTAATTTTCTACATTTTTAGTGGCATAGGTAACACAGAATATTGGTTAAATATTTTTTCATATAATTTTTTAACAAGAAACTTACCTACAAAATAAAGATTTTCACCTAACTTGGGATGGCATTGCCTTCCTATCTACACCCGTGCTATATTTGTACACATATTAAGACTTTCTGGTCTTTCTAAATTAAAAATAAATAATTAAATAAGACGAGTTTGAACAAATATACAACATAAACTTATGAGGTTAAGTGTCTCTTTCCCTTTATATTTTCTTTCCTTCGTAGTTGCTTCATATTATGTCTAATACTGTCTGTGTTCCAAATGGACTTAAAATGAGAGGAAAATGTTATGGGAAACTTATCTTTTTGATATTTCAAGCCACCTATACATTTTTCATGTGAACAGTTTACATAGTTGACCATATGAGCTACTGAACATTGATCTTATGATCTACTCCAGAATATAATCTGCCGAATGAAAATACAGAATGGGGAGGAAAGGCAGCTGGTTTTCTTCCATAAAAAAGGTTTTCAACCCAGAATCAAAAGACAAGGTACATTTTTTTTATCCTTTCTTCAAGATTTCATCTTTACAGCTTTCTTATTTATTGTGCTCACAATCTTTTCAATCTTTTTCTCTGGAAATGACTACTGATACATGTTATTGCTGTTCAGAAAGCAAGTAACAAAAACAAGAAATGGGTTGAGAAAGAACATTCTCCAGTTCCATTATCCTCAAATGTAGAAACTTCCAAATCATCAACACTACTACCACTTCCTCCAGGTGAAGGGTTTAAATTAGCAGAAGTGGTGGAAGAGCAAACAAAACACCCTTACCCTGTTGCAGTTTCCACTTCTGAAGCTTTTTTCCCAGCTTCTCACGCTGCTTCAGAAGTTGTTCGGTTTAGACAAGTTCAAATTCCTGTCAAATCCAAGGAAGAACGTGCTGCAATCAAGATTCAGACTGCTTTCCGAGGATACCTGGTATATAGCTGTTTAGCTGTTTACAAGCGTAAATTTCGAGCATCATGTTACCTCGATATATAATTCCTAGGTTTGTTCAGAACAAATGTCTTAGAAGGCTTGTTACCTCTGGCTCCAAAGAGTCAATGGTCCACAACCTTTTGTGTCATAAAAAGGGAGTCCCATTTAAACAAAAGATACTATTTGCCGTTTATTTCAAAATATTTTTTCTTAAAAGTAGTGTTACGGATGAGTTAAATATAGTTTCACAGACAAGTAAATGTAGAAATATACTCCTTCCATAATCTATTGATTGCTTCAATAGGGTTTGACACAATGATAAAGGGAAAATTAGTAGGGGGTGAATAGTTTGGAAAAAGTAGGAGGTGAGGGTAATTGAGTGTTGTTAAAGGGAAAACTTACTAAAAAGGGAAATGTAACAAAAATTACAATACATCCCAAAAAGGAAAGTGTAACAAACAAAAGAATACTGAGGGAGTATGTTGGATTGGTAATTAAATAGTTTACTAGTGTTACCTTATGGCAGTTAAAAAATTGTACCTTGATGAAACAACAGTCCATTTTTGGGACAGAGAATACATATATGTATATATTCTTTTCTCGGAGAAGGTCTTACCACAATGCCAACTTGCCAAGTACCCATTCATGGGTTTAAGTTCTTATTAACTTTTATCACTTTGATTGATATTGTAAATAAATTCACTAAGGCATCCTATTCGGAAAGTGGCATGGTTTGTCTATGCTATGGGAGTAACAAACATTTGGCTTAATATAAGAACTACCTAATATTTGTAAAGTGCATGAATTTATTTCGTCTATCTTTTGCACCTTCATCTAGAGGCTAAGTACAGGATCAACATTTTTGGCAAGTAGAACTTTGAAATGGTTAAGGTTTTCTTCCGTGATATGCAGGCGAGGAGGGCTTTGAAGGCGTTAAGAGGGCTTGTGAGGCTTAAACTTCTTGTTGATGGGCCAACGGTGAAACGACAAACCATGAATGCTTTGAAGTGTATGCAGACTTTTTGTCGTGTACAGTCTCAGATACACTCTAGAAGGAATAGGATGCTGGAGGAGAATAGAGCACTACAGAGACAACTTTTGCAGAAACATGCTAAAGAACTTGAGAACATGAGGGTAAGTTTCTTCCAGGACTTTCTTTACCCCTATTTGGTTCAAAACAAGAGTAGAGGGAGGTCTCAGATATATTTGCTTCCACTGAGGAGTGATGCAGAATTATTATTTTAGAAAAATGTATAATAAATTTATTTGACACTCCTTTGTCCCTATGTTAACTGTTGCTATGACTTTGCATAGTACTACCTCCGTCCCACTAACATTGGTACTTGAGAAGGTGACCCAGTTATTAAGAAAAGTGGTTTTATGTGGTTGATTTAAATTGATAAAGTAAGATTAAAGTAAAAATGACTTAGAACCACACAAACTTTATCAAATTTGGTAGGAGACAATCTTTGTGGGACGAACCGAAAAGAAAAGATGGGACGATCTTAGCGAGATGGAGGGAGTATTAAATAGAGTATAAATGGTTGAAATTTGTTTAGAGGCAAGAGACACAATATCAATCACAAAGTCATTTCGTCAAAAGGAAAAGAGGAGATAGTATAGAGACGGACAATATAGAAAAGGATGAAGATAAATATTGGACCGAAGGAGTATTTTGTTGTTGTACTCACTCCGTCTCGTTAATATTTTCCCATTTTACCTTTTCGGGAAATGCCACTAAGATTGTCCCATACTAACTTTGTTAAAGTTTGTGTGGCGCTAAATCATTCTTACTTTATTCTTACTTTATTCTTACTTTATCAATTCAATATCAACCACATAAACCCACTTTTCTTAATAACCGTGTCACCTCTCCCGTCCCCATATTAGTGGGACGGAGGTAGTAATATAAAATCTAGTAATCTATGTGTATAATGACAAATTGACAATATAGAATAGTTATGACTAAAGGGGTGTAAAGGAAAGTAAGAAAAAGATCACTCCATAGTATCCAAAGTTGGAGCGAAATGAGGAGTTTGTAAAGTGCATAGATTATCTGCCCCCCACCTTCCTGACTTTCAAAACCAATCACACCACATTCCCCCGCTTTCTTCCCCTTTAAAGTTGTCCAACTACACAAGGGCTAAAGAAAAGGTTTGCAAAATTGCAATTACAGCACATTGATACAATGAATATATTACCAGTCAGTCTGGTGGTTATAATATTCAATTTATTTTTGAGCATTTTCTTCCTTGAAAATGTGATTTTTTAAACAGAAAATTACTTTATGCGCTAACAGAAAATGAAACAAGCCCATTTATCTTATCTGTCTCCAAATACTTAACTATGTTCTCTTCTTTCCAAAAACATTCCATAGTTAATTTACTTTCACTGTGACAAACGTCTGCTACGGCCTTCATTTGTTTAATGATACCTTTTCATGAGCAAAATAATATACGAAGTATTTATCTGGCTTTGTTTTTCGTTTTCCAAATGTTAGGGTTTTGGCAATATCAGCTTTATCCTAACCACAATTTGCTTAAATTAAATGGTCTACAGAGAGGAGAAGGATGGGATTATAGTATGCAATCAAAGGAAAAAATTGAAGCAAGCTTGCTAAGCAAGTATGAAGCTGCCATGAGACGGGAAAGAGCATTAGCTTATTCATATTCTCATCAGGTAGCAATTTGTCAGTCCCTTTTTCAACAGCAGTGTGTCTTAGCAGTAATTTTATGATCATTGCTTACAAGATTTCCATAATATGTCACGTGGGCTTCATTTTAAAATTTGAAACTGGTAGGGAAACAAACAAGGAAGGGAAAACATGACAAAAGAGAGAACGTTCTGGAAAGAAAAGTTGAGGACAAAATAAAATTCAATAAATCGACTTTATTTAATAGTTCAAAATAATTTAATTCATCTATTTTTATTATATACAAAATCTAAACATGCGTAAAGTTACTCATGTTTGAATTTTCATAATAAGTTACGTAGTAATATACTTCAACAAAATAAAATATCAGCATTGTTTTTCTTTGTAACCACATTTCAGTCTTTCAAAAACAGCCTCATTAATTCCTTAAACCATAGTGGTTATCTCAACTAGTTTTAGGGAATCTTTCTTTTTATTATAAAGGCCACAGGCTTAACTTCTGGTAATTATCTAACATGACAGCAAACCCGGAAGAAGTCATCAAGAGCTTCCAATCTATTATTGTTTATGGATCCAACCAATCCTCAGTGGGGCTGGAGCTGGTTGGAACGGTGGATGGGTGGTCGGTCTTTAGATGCCCAAAACACTCCTGATGGGGGAGAAACAATTACCAAGTCATTTGCACGTCATCAGCTAAACAATGAACCACCTGTGTCTTCACCATCCAAGCTGCCCGTTTCTTCGGTGGCTGCCCGAAAACTGAAACTACAGAGCCCAAGAGTAAGCACAACAAGCCAAGATGATGAGGATATGAAAAGTACGAGTATGAAATCTGAGAGGAATCGGAGGCACAGCACGGCGGGGTCCAAATCAGTTAGAGATGACGAGAGTTTGGCGAGCTTCCAGTCCACGCCGAGCTACATGACACCCACCAAATCGACAAAGGCTAAAACACGAATGCATAGCCCGTTAGGTTTGGATAATGGGACACCACAGAATGGATCAGCGGGTTCGGGTGTGAAAAAAAGGCTCTCTTACCCGCCTTCACCAGCCAAGCCTAGGCGGCATTCTGGCCCGCCAAGGGTGGAGAACATCAATGTGGAGGTCAGCTAATCAATTCATCTCATCAAAATTGTGTTGTATCAATGTGTATGGTTGATTCTACCTCGTTGTGCAGAGAAAATAAATGGAGCAGAGTGACAGATGAAAGGATTGGCATATACCAAGTATATACTTGTAAAAGTTCAAATTGTCTACAGAATTGTATGGTTATAGATTCATTGTTTTATGGTCTGTCTGGTAACAGATGAAGCCAACATAGTTTATTATTTATTGAGCTACATCTTCATGTTTACCTTAATTGTTACACATTGAAATTGTAATAACATGATAACGTATAGTGTCAATGTACCAAAGATTTGGTTTTTTTCTAGATACAGATAACACTTGCCGTGTCCCTCTCTAATAAGCCGTAATACATGCCACACAAAAGCCCCTCTCTAATAAGCCGTAATACGCCACACAAAAGCCTCTGCCTTTTAGTTTCTCTTTTCTTTAAAAAACCTTCAAAGACTCTAGTTGTATGTTTGACATGACATTTTTTAAGAGTTTTTCAAAAATTAAAAGATCTTTTTTGAGATGCTACCTGGTGTAGCATCTGAGAAAAGCTCGTGACTTTTAGTATTAATTAGTCCTAACAACTTGTATACCAAACCGAACTAAATCAAACAGTCAGATTTTTACCAAACAGCTATCACCTTTTCTTTTTAAGATCTTTTCAGTCACTAAAAGCTAACAGTTACTAAAAGTATCTTTTCAGCTAGTTGTGCCAAACGTACCCGTATTTTGATTTTTTTGTTACTGCTTTTTATTAGTCCGTAGTTGATTCATAATCCATTAGGTTTTTTGCGGTTATTAGGATGAATATGTTGAGGTAGTTAAAAGTAGGATAGTGTAGATGCTAAATCGAAAAGTTACAAAAATCACGAAAGAAAGATGAGAAGGAAAGAAAGATGAAAAATTAAGGGTATTTATTTATTGATTTATTCTGATATAAATATATTTGCCATTTTGCCATATTTGAAAAATATTAATTTTATAGGAATAAACACTTTAACACAATTGAAAATCAGAAATACGAATCTAAAGACAAAAACTTTAAAACCGATTTACACAAAATTTATTTTGCCATCATCCAAAATTTCAGAAAATCGGAATTTTTTAAAAAGCAAGAAATATGGTAAATACGAAATAGAGGTCCAAAAATCAGCAAATGTTAAAACTTAAGCCGTGAGGTGTGCCACCTGTCAAGGCATCAAGATCTAGACAATTTATAGACAATTTATAGACAATTTAAACCTTTGAAGCCTTGGCGAAAATAGAGGAAACTTATGCGAGAATAGACAATTTATATTCAATCGATAATTACTGTTTTATGGTGAAGAAAGAAAACGCCAAACAATAATATACAAAAATTGAGTGACTTTTACTTTGTTTAATATATAATTTTTAAATGTATAAAAAGTGATAATAAAACATACTATTTTATAAAATGTTTTATTATCTATAAAACTTCCGTCTTTTTGCTTCTAAAATGTTTATAGAATTGTTTTTTTTTTTAATTTTAAAAAATATATTTTCTTTCCAAATAAAATTATCTATAAAACTTCCGTCTTTTTGCTTCTAGACTTACGCCTTTTCACACCTTCAAATGATAATCTTTACCACACTTTTTTACTATGCGGGGTGTTTTCCTGCTGCCTCATGCTTGAGGCCTGCTGTTGGATAATTGATACCCATATCCTATAACTAAGGAGAGATTGAACAAGAATGTAGGAGAAGGAGATATTGTGTATTGTGTATGAACTATGAGTTATGTTTACAAGCCTCATATAAGGAGTATATATAGGGAAAATCCGGGTAGGCCTCTAATATGGGCCTGACAGACCTAACTACATAAATGGACTGACAGTATAAAAAGCTAATCTAGAACATCTGACTAATAATAATGTACAATAATATGAATCTGTTAAATGTGTGTGGGCCGCTGTCCAGGCCCAGTAGTCAGCAGACCGGAGGGTCGTAGTCCATATACTCCATCAGGAGTCCCCCACTCCCTGAGTTGAGAGTACTCGAGGCGAAAGGGAGTAGTCCAAACTGTATCTGCAACGTTCTTCTGTCTTTAGTTTCCTCCTCTCCGGCCGGGGGACCACCACCCTTGTCCGTGATGGGGAGGTGTCTTGTTAAAAACCTTTACTAGTAAAAACCCCACTGGGAAAAAATCCTAATAAAGGGAAAAAGAGTACACCTAGCGCCCCTAACATGAAACAAGGAAGGTAGCCCCCCCTCCGGCATAATCACTTTTGTCTAGCTCAACCCGTCTTCATCTTACTCATCTTTCGTTCCTGCTCATGCGTGATATTTTCTCCTCATCTAGAAACTCTGACCCCTCAGTCCCCCAGTCCACACTCTTTGAGGCGAGTGGAGACGAGGTGAAAATGAGTAAAGTCATCTTTGTATCTACACATTTATCATACATATAAAATCTTTTTCTTGAGATTTATGTTTCCGATCGGGAGTTCGTTACTTGAAAATAGTGGAAAATGTGGATTGCCAATGTAATGATAAAATACTTAGTAGAGTGGATGTGTGAGCCATTCATAAGCAACGGTCGCCGCTCGAGGAATGACTAAGACCAGTCTTCGTGCCTGAGAGTCAGGGCTTTGTGCCTGAGAGTCAGGGCTTTGTGCCTGAGAGTCAGGGCTTTGTGCCTGGGAGTCAGAGCTTTAAATCCTAGTGATGGGTCTCAAGCCATACTCTACTAGGCATTTGATCATAAGTGCGTGATAGTGTGACATTCATCCGACTCAAAAAACTGATTTAAATACTTTTAAATAATATGAAAATTAAAGAGTACTTATCTTTTGATGGGCTGAAATATTGGGCCACTTGGGTTGTATCTGTTGCAAGAACTACGGCCCACCATTTTTAGACCGGTTCTGGACTAAAGGTTGTCTGCTGGTCCACAAATTTTGATTGAAGCTAGGTATTTGCTCCGTATTTTCTTGGCCACCATGAGAGGAGTGAAGTGCATCCACATATGGATTCTTCTAAGCCATATATCACAAAGGTGAATTAATTTAGTGGGTCCACTGAATTAATTTAGTGATCCAATCCTTCTGGCTTTTCACTAGTGAAGCTCGCAGATGGCATGTGTCACAAACTTCCTTTAGCTCGACCTTGGGATTCATGCCTAGCTTTACTGACGCCAAAAATGGAGGACCTCCCAATCACAGGCCGCCGGAAATGAAGAGGGGCCTCGGCGGTCCAACTCCTGCTTAACAATCCGGAGCTAGAATCCCCATTAATGGCAGTCGGAGACCACCAAACTGTCATTCCGCAACGTTGAGACGCGACGGAGACCGGCATGGCGCCGGAGCAACCATTGAAAAGCGGCAGCGCGGTAACAGAAGCGACGAAGTTCGTACGCTAGACAATTCACCGGTGGCTGCTGGAGAAGGGAAGCGAGGAGGGATAAGGCGCGACAGAAACACGATGGGAGTTCAGGACTTCAGCAATCTGAGTCGAGGTGTGCGTCCACTGCTGCTAAGGTCGCCAGAATCGGACGAGCGTCCTCTTCGGCTTCGCTACTTGGCTGCTTCTTGGCCCAGGCTTGGTGGTGCTTGGCCTCTGTAGTCGAATGTCGTTCCCTTGGATCTGCAGCAAAAGAACCAAATGGAAATCGATGTTGTAGCAGAGCTCGTGCTTGGGGGTCGCTCGTTGTCCATCGACCTCAACTTTGCCACCGGCCGCGAGGTTGGCGAAGACCTGGGTTTGCTTCGTCCGACCAATGGTTGTGAACAGCGAGCGAAGGGACTATATACGAGCTGCCGGCGACCCGAAGCTCCTGATCGTGAGTGACAGTGTCAAGTCAGCAGTGGTATTTCCTTCCCAACAGCCATTAATGGCGGAGATCACAAGATCTGGTTCCAACGAGCACGAGTAGAAGTCGGATGAAATTGCTGGAGACCGCTGTCACTCTATTTCTTGTGATTTGACCAATCCTTGAACGGTGGGTACTGGGTAGAGGACCCAAGCCCAGATCCTTCTGCTCCGATCAGATTGTTGCTTGCCTTTTCGGATCCTGAGTTACAGATTTGGATCTGTAATTTGCAGCTAAAATTATAGAATGGATGATGATTTTTTGTAGTAGATTCACCGGAGGAAGATGAATTTTGGGAGGTTTTCTCACTTGATTGTGTTCAAACTTCAAACATCTCAAAGAGAGCACCATTGTTGGATAATTGATACTCATGTCGTATAACTAAGGAGAGATTGAGCAAGAATGTAGGAGAAGGAGATATTGTGTATTGTGTATGAACTATGAGTTATGTTTACAAGCCTCCTATAAGGAGTATATATAGGGAAAATCAGAGTGTAGGCCTTTAATATGGGCCTGATAGACCCAGTTACATAAATGGACCGATAGTATAAAAAGCTAATCTAGAACATCTGACTAATAATAATGTACAATAATATGAATACGCTAAACGTGTGTGAGCCGCTGTCCAGGCCTAGTAGTCGGCAGACCGGGGGGTCGGAATCCATATACTCCATCACCTGCCTTTTAGAATACTGAAATATTACTCAAATATTAATGAACATTCTATTTCACAAATTTTATGAAACACATCAAAAAGAAAACTTGAGGTAAAGATAGCGGACATATGAAGTGAATAATATGAATTAGGGATATTTTGACTTTGCACCCCGCTTTTTCGGTGATATTGGACTTTGCACCTCATTTTCAAAATTCTTAGACTTTGCACCCTATTTCCCCTAAAATGTCTTTGCATTTGCACCCCATTTAGAAATTTTTCTTCACAAAATGTTGTAGATAGGGTGCAAAGTCTAAAAGTTTTGAAAATGGAGTGCAAAGTCCAATATCACCCAAAAAGTGGGGTGCAAACTCAAAATTTCCCTATGAATTAAGATAAGTAATTGTGGTGTAATTGTGAAAGTAAAAAATATTATTCTTAAATAATCTTCATATTCATCTCTCATTGTATTATTTTTAGATGATCGTAAAAAAATTCAAAAGTATAATTATGCGTAATAAATACTTCGTATTTGTATGCTGATGGAGTAATTGTTTGATTTGATGATAGTTATAGGGGTGTTTGGAACTGATTCTGCTTCTGCTTATTTTTTAAAGCAGAAGCAGAATCAGAATCAGTTTTCAGAAACTGGTACCTATCAGCTTCTAAAAAAAGTGATTCTGGAAGTAAATTAGAGCACCAGAAGTGCTTCTGGAATTTCACCCAAACACTCCAACTTCTGCTTCTGCTTCCTGAAGGAGCAGAACCAGTTTTGAAAATCAGATCCAAACACCCCATAGTTGTCACTCTAATTATACGAAGTATAAAGCAAGAAGAATTTTTTAACCATCTTTGGAAACAAATTAGACAAAAATTAAAGAAATACTCCCTTTGATTCATAAAGAAGTTCCACCTTTTCTTTTCGGCCAGTTCCAAAATTAAGTTCCACTTTCAAACATTTTTTTATTTGGCAAATTATCTACATCAAAACAGTGTAAAATAGTGTCAAATAGTGTTCAAACAGTGTAGTCTAAGTTAAAACCTGAACTTTTTTTAGAATGGGAGGTACTATAAACACTTACGTACTAATATTGACCAATACGGAGTATACTCCGGGGGGACATATTTGTCCAATCTCGAAACAAACTGGGTGCCCCCCTTCCAGCAAATTTCAAGGCGTCCGGAGACGATAAGATATTACCAAGCTGGAGTAATTTGGTATCCTGGTGGCTTGATTAGCAATCTAGCTTTGTTCATCTTTAACCTCCTCCTCCCTGCCGTCTTCATCACTCCCCTCATCGCACGTTAGAAACGTCGACACCTGTAATCCTCGTTCTCCCCATTTGAGCTCCTCTTATCTGTTCGGCTTCAATCTGCGCTCACCATCGTGACCAACGCTGTTCCATATCAGAATCGTCCGCACAAGTACTCAACCCTTGATTGTGTTGCGTACTGGTCGAACTCAGAGAAGACAAAAGTAATGGTATTCACTTGTTTTTCGTAGACCTCTTTTACACTCTTTTTCTCCGTTTCTAATTTAGGGTTTATAGTTAAATTCGAAGTGGATTTTTACCTTATCGTAGGATTTCACTCACCATGTTTTTTGCTGAACAAATATAACATTTTTATATTTATTTTTGGAATTCTTTCAAAAATTGTTCATATAAGATGCCCGCTTTTGTGCTTCTTTAGAGTGTTTTGCGTTTTTGTGTTGTTTGGTAAGACTATTAATTTCAAGGGTTCTTCGGTGATGCTCAGTTGGAAAAACTTCGCTACTATTCATAGGGAAGGTTATGTTGCGTTTGTGCCTGTGCATTTATGGTGATGTGATATCATAGCTTCGGACATGGATCAAGAAGTAGCTGCATCATATCACACAGAATAGTCGCACACTCACACAGAATAGGGTTTATTGTTTACACAATTATTCATGATTTGTGGTTTTATTTATAATATGGTGTATTCATTCCTGTCGAGCTCTTTAGGTGGGAACACTATCGGAAACTTCTTTTGCTTTTATATATTAGTATAGTAAAAGACAGATAGATTTTGAGCTGACCTTAACTAAATTTCCATCTTTCTATTCTAATCTTTCACTGTTTATGATCACTAATCGTTTATTTTTCAACCAAGTTCACCCCCTGTCATCATTTAAATCAGATGATATTCAGTTCATCACTTACCCATTTTGCTCTCCTTCCCAGTGAGCCTATGGTCCTCCAAAAATTAGGGCAGGCTTATAAAAAGGTTAACTTTATACCATGTTGTATGCCAAATTCATTAAAAGTTTCATACTTAAGACTGCATATCTTGTGGTTTTAATACACTGGCTGGGCTTATGACGAGAAATCTTAGGAATCTTTGAAAGTTTCATACTTTAGACCTTAGTTATAAAAAGCTCGCGCAAGGCGATTCAAAAGTCGCAACAGTTAACGTTTGCGCAGCAGAGTCCTTAAAGTGCAAGCCTTCCTTTCTTATTTCCTCCTTTTCTAGGCGAACAATTGTCAATTTAACCATTTAGTTGTCACAAGTTTATCTAGAAGACTAGAACTTTCTGCTTTAAATAAGAGGCCGTGCAATCTTAACTAGAAGCCTTTATACTGTAACTAGAAGTCTTAAAACTGCTTTGTGATCTTTCTGATCGTCTTAAAACCTGAAGTTTTATATACTAGAAGCCTTAATATAATCTTGTGACTGACTTTGGTGTAATATGTTGTTTGGTGACTTATGCTATATTATGATTTTATCTCTATTTATGGGTAGAAGGTTTTATGCACAAGTAGTATCAATATCATTTAGCCAATCTTTATGCCTAAGTTCTGCTGGGCGCCTCCGCCTCAAGTAAGCTTAGCAAATACGCTTCATGCTGCTTTGCGCCTTGGCTGAACTTAGGAAAAACACCTCATGCTTCCTGGCGCTGTTAAAAACTAAGCTTAGACTACTTTAATATTAAAGCAGCAAACTTATTTACAAATATGTCATCTAAATATTCGCAGACGACACCATTAATAGCAGGAGTTGCCATTGCAGCAGCTGCTTGTGCAGGCAGGTATGGTATTGTTGCATGGCAAGCTTTCAAGGCAAGGCCACCGACCGCCACAATGCGTAAATTTTATGAAGGAGGTTTCGAACCTAAAATGACAAGAAGAGAAGCAGCTCGTATTCTCGGAGTCAGGTATGCATTATCCCTTTTTACCTATTCAAATGCCAGATGAATTATTATTTTTCAAGCCTACTTGCAGTCCCAAAATTTCACCGTTGCATTTCTCCATTTATCTCAACACATTTTTGAATGCCACTTACACATGTAATCATCCATTTACATGGTCTTACGACTTTGCAGAGGCCTGTGCTTTTGGTAAGCAGTCTCAAGATAAATTGTGTGCGGTATTAATAGCTACTAAAATTTCACCACGTTCTGTAATGATCAATGGACAATAATGTAACCAATTATTTTGATAACTTTTTGACTGCTTTCTTCTTTGTTGTTCACGAACTGCAGAGTGGATTACATTTTAACTTGTAATGTTTGTGTTGTTTCAGTTGATTGGTTTATGTGTCATTTATGATCTTTTCAAAATCTTCCTTAGAGAGAGCCAATAACCTGGGGTCATGCTTGCAAGTTTACAGAACTAAGAATTTTGCAGTTTGGTTCTAATGGAGTGTGCATTCTGCATCAACTAAAATCAATTTGTGAGGATAGACATCTACAGAGTATTTATTTATTCTTTGTAGCTTTCCTAAGCTATGCCATAAGAATCCCTCCGCCTATTCCATGCCAAGGCACTAGGCTTCCCTTATATGCCTATGTTCTTCTCTCAAATTTCCCTTCTAGTGTTGCACTTGCGCACATGCTTTGTCATCACCTAGGCACTAGCTTGCCGGACAAGCAGCAGATAACGCTTTTTAGAACATTTGATAATGCTTCTATGGTAAAATAGCGTGATAATGATTCCATTCCCAAATGCTTACATGAGTTCAAATTACTAATGTGAACTTAGAGTTCTTCATTTCTGCTTCCCTTCCTTCAGGTTTTACTAATTCATTTTTATATGCTTGGGTTCTATTTCCTCTCTTCTAGACTCTAGTTTATCTATCTTGCTTGACCAAATCATTTAGTTTAAGAAATAAATATAGGAGTTATAAATTAACCATAACATTCGATACTTATTTATAATACCCTCACTGCAGGCTGTCATGCCCTTTATATTTTCTTAGCAAAAGAGTAAATTAAATAGTATAAGAACTTTAAATAGGGTAAAGGATATCTAATGTGCATACATTTTATAAATAGACAGATAAAGGAACAAGAAATTTTGTGACAGGTTAATAGGGGGAACAAGCTAATGTGACTGATATATTTTGTTGACTACTTTTTCATCCCTGCTTAGACCACATTTAGTGTTCCCTCTAGTCCTTTCAACAAGCTATGATGTTTGTGTATTATGTATTAACCCCTAGATTATGTCCTACAGAGAAAGCACTCCACAAGATAAAGTGAAGGAAGCTCATAGGAGGGTGATGGTGGCTAACCACCCAGATGCAGGCGGGAGCCATTATCTCGCATCGAAAATTAATGAAGCAAAAGACATTCTTCTTGGAAAGTCCAAAAGCAATGGAGGGTCTGCATTTTGATTTAGCGTTCATACTCTTTTGAAAGACCTACTTAACAAAGAAATCTATATCCATGGCGTTGGAGACCATCATCATATCTCTCCTGCAGTTATATACTGAAAATTCATTATGTTTGTAGCTTCAAGAATTAATTACTACGTAAAGTGATTCTTGATTCACACCAAGATTCGAGTATATTAGTAATGTTAAATGCATTTTGTACTCGATGTATTACTTACATTTGAATACAAATAACAATTTCCTAGTAGTGACTTGTAAGAACGGAAAATTTTGTAAACTCTCGATGTATCAAGAGCGTTGTTCAGGTTTATTTTTAAATTTAAGTTTAGACCAATCACCAATGGCATACAGATAAAGGCCTAGAGAAGTTTGGAAGACATGTGTTTAGGTTAACACTTTTCTGTAACAATATTTGAAGAAACAATAAAATGTTTGTGAGTTGTTGGAAAAATGCTTGCATCCCCTTGTATAAAAAGCTTATAAGTAATACTCCGTACTATGTAACATAAAACTTTGGGAGTGAGTGGTTTAGCAAAAGTTGTGGATAAATTTGATGAATTATGCGAATCAATTTGGTTTTAAATTGGGTTGTTCAACAATCGATGTTGTTCACCTTCCTAGACAACTTGAAGAGATGTATAGAGATACGAACAAGGATCACATTTGATATTCATTGACGTAGAAAAGTGCATACAATAGGGTATCACATTTGATATTCATTGACGTAGAAAAGTGCATACAATAGGGTACTTGAAGAATTTATTAATATGAATGAAAATTCTATTAGAATTGTTCTTGTTAGTGTAGGGAGGAGTTACATGTAACTTCCTATTACTATCGAAGTGCATCATGGATCAGATGAATATTTATGAAGATTAAGAAGTGTCCGTTGTTAATGCAAGGAGAAGGTACACATAACTCTATTAGATGGACCGGCTCCTAATCATTTCTTATTTGTCATAGATGAACTCAAAGTCAATTCCAGAAGATATAACATGGTGCGTGATATTTGCTAATGATATTGTGTTGATCGATGAAATAAAATCGGCAGTTAAAATAAAATTGGAATTATGACGACAAACATTAGAGCGCAAGAAGTTCAGGAAGAGCCAAAGCAAAATTGAATATATGAAATGCACATTTAGTGGGCATAGAAACTGTCATAATAGTGAGATTACCTTGAATTGTAAGGAGATCTCGATCAATGTTTTTTTTAGTGGATCCCTTCCAAACAGGCCACTGCCTCAACTTCAACTGCTTCTCTACATGCTGGGATGGTTTTATGGGATGAATAAAGCAGCTGCCCCCTGCTGTTACGCACCACGATACCGACGCTGGCAGCTCCACTCTCTTTAACAAAAGCTCCATCAACATTCACTTTTGCCCACCCCACCGGGGGAGGTGTCCATTTATCGGAATCCTTCGCTAATATAGGCTGATTTTCTAGCACTTCTAGGTGACTTTTCCCCTTAAGATCCAATTCCCGCAGCCCTCCAACATCATTGGCTTTCTCATAGTCCCTTAGAAACGCCACCGAGCTAGCAATAGTAGCTTCCCCTTTCTCATGGACAACGTTATTCCTTAAATACCAACTCCTCCATAGGACAAGCATCAAGTTTGTTCTCATTCTTCCATCTAGTGAATTAAGAAGCACAAGAAACCACTCCGGGCCAGTGTAGTTGAGCTTGCTTTCCTCAGGTAAAACCCAAAACTTACGCATTTCCTACCTCAATGCTCTCACTTTTGTGCAGGCTACAACTGTGTGGTAACCGTCTTCCACCGCTTGACCGCATAGGATACACATACAACTCATGTCAAGATTCCTCCGCCACATACACATCCTTGTAGGCAGAGATTCATGAGCTAATCTCCAAGCAAAAATTCTGACTTTTGGTGGGACGTTTGTTTTCCAGATAGTATTCCAGATAACCCTCTCTCCATTAGGTGCCTGATGTGTGTTTTCTCGCATTTAAAAATGATGTAGTAAAGTGGTTGAAAGTACGAGTATCGTCTCCACAGGGACGGACAAAGGGGAATTAAAGATTAACTAAATTCAGCGAATAAAAATAAAATAAAATAAAATGCAAGTGTGCGAGATTGATTGATTGAATAAAAATTAAATTAAACTAATGCGAATGAGCGAATAAAATAAATGTTTGGTTTCTTTCTAATTAACGACAAAGGGAACAAGGATTGATTCCGGGGTAATCGGATTTCTGGCAGAACAGGCTTAATTACATGAATTTAATTTAATTGAATCTAGCTAATCATTACTAAGTTCTTACCGCTCTCGCGGCGTAGAGTACAATAATTTAGGGGACCAGGCTGATCTCTCATGCGACAAGATCCTAAATTATTGCCAAAACGAGCGAGCTTACGGCTCCTTAATCGCTACTAATCTCTTAGCGAACGATTAAGTGTGTGTGAAGGTGTCCTAGAATAAATTAGATCTCTCTTAATTCATTCTACATGCAATTGTAATTCTAGCCGCGGTTCCAGGTTACAAAAGATATCAGTTAAATTATTCAAACACAAATTAAACGGCATTCATGCAATTAAACCGACAAGAATCTAGCCATCAATCATGATTAACCCCTTCATCAATCCCAAATCCCTAATTAAACTACTCACAATTCATAATTGAAGAATCAACAGAATTGGGATGAATAGAAATAATTGTCATTAATTAAAAAGATAGAACTTACAAAGAATCCCTTAATCTTGAAGAACAAGGCTTGAAAAGCTCTCAAAAATCGAAATAGGGTTTATCTCTCTAAGCTCCTCCCTCAAAAACAGGCAAAACAGGGGCTTATTTATAGAAAAATCCGAAAACGGGCCGAAAATCAGGCCGCGCGGTCGTCCGCACGTAGTGCGGGTCACCGCGCGGTCACGCGCGTGTTTTTCCGTCTTCCGACTTTCGCTCCGCCCGCGCGGTGTGCGGGCGCCGCACTATGCAACCGCACGGGTACTTCTGGGGGCTATTTCTGGACCGCGCGGTGTGCGGTTTTGGCCGCGCGGTGTGCGGTTTCGACCGCGCGGTGTGCGGTTTCGGCCGCACATAGTGCGGTTTAGACTTCTTGAATTCTTGCTCTCAGAATCACCCGCGGGGCGTGCGGAACCGCACCGCGGGCCGCGCGGATTGCTCTAGAACCGTTTTCTTGCTATTTTCTTCCCCGTTTGTTCCCGGATACTTCTTTAATCAATCCAAAGGTCGTTTCTTCATCAAATCTTCACCGTGAACCTTCCGGTGGCCTCCAAAACTCTCAAATCTCTCTCGAATGTTCTCCAACTCTTCCCGATTGCTTCTCTAAGCGCCGATGTCGGTCTCTAACTTCTTCAAATCAACTCCAAATGCAATGAAACTCGATCCAACGCCTGCTAAACACAACTTGAGCCAAAATTGAGACTTGCAACGCCTTAAAGCCAGGAAAACCATCAAAATCTGACCCGGACACGCATCAAATGCGTGTCTAAATACGGGCTTATCAGTGCCTCACTAGTCGATTGCTCTCTTATGCTAAAATTAGATAGTTGCCAGGCCAGTTTATAAGCACTCTTCACAGTAAACATCCCATTTTTCTCAAGGTGCCAAGCCGGGTAGTCCTCCACCTCCCAGTGAGGAATCCTTATCTTAAGTATAGCATCTGCATCCTCAGTATGCAGTAAGTGTCGTACCAGACGCTCATCCCATGATTTCTCTCCCTGCTTCCACAGCTCCTTAACAAATGTTAATCTGTTCCACTTCCTCTTCTGAATAGGTGACAACCTCCCTTCATGAGGTACCCAACAGTGCCTCCAAATCTTAATGCTTTGTCCATCTCCAACCCGCCAGATAATGCCCTTTCTTAGAAGCTCCAGCCCATGCACTATGCCTTTCCAGGAGGGAGACGATTCGGTAGGGAAGGCTGTGTCAAGTAATGCTCCGTTGGGATAGTATTTTGCTTTAAGCACCCTAGCAGCTAGGCTGTCCGGTTTAATCAACAGTCTCCATGCTTGACGAGCGAGGAGAGCTTGGTTAAAACATTTCATATCTCTGAACCCCAGCCCTCCAAAGGATTTAGGGGATGTAAGTTTCTCCCACGCTACCCAATGTACCTTTGGATATTCTTTATCATGCCCCCACCAGAAGTTTCGCGCCAACTGCATATAGTCATCGCAAAAATGTGACGGCATTTTAAAAATCCCCATAATGTAGGTGGGTAATGCTTGCGCTACACTCTTTATCAGTACTTCCTTCCCACCAGCGTAGAGATACTTCTCCGACCAATCTGTTAGTCTTTTCGTGAACCTCTCACCAAATAGGCCTGGACTCGGGCCGGGGCGGCCCGCCCCGAAACATGCCCGGCCCGGGAACCGGTTGGGGGCAGTTCGGGTCGACCCGGCCCAGTAGTCCAGCGGTTTCGGTCTCGGGCCCTTCAAATGGCGAACCGGGCCGGGCCCGGTTCGGGCCTAACGGCTCTTTTTTTTAATTTTAATTTTTAATTTTTTTTTAAAAAATAATTGGGGGGCATCTAGCCGTTCGGAGACCTCCCAAACGGCTATATAGCCGTTGGAGGGGGTGGGAGGGGGGTCCAGGGGGTTTTGGGGGTGGGGATAAAAAAACCCATTTATACTCCTATTTTCTATACATTTTTTACACCTCTTCTCCAATTCTTCCTACTCTCTAATTCTCTATTTCCTCATACTCTTAAATCTTAATCATCTCCATCTTCATCTTCTCCAAACCTCTCTACATATATATATATATATATATATATATATATATATTATTTATATAATTATTATATCTACTTATATATTAATTATCTACTTATATACCTATATTATATTACTAATATTTATTATCTACTTAATATATATTTGTTATCTTCTTAATATTTACTTTGATATCTACTTATCATCTATACTTATTGTTATTTACTTATATATATTAAATTATTAATTATCTACTTTACATACATATATTATATTACTTATATTCCTTATCTAATTAATCTCTACCTATTATCTACTTATATATTAAATTATTATATATAAGTGTATTACTCATCTTATAGTAATATACTTATATATTATATACTATAAACATTATATTATATATTAGTTATAAAATAATCTACTTATATACCTATATTATATTACTAATATTTATTATCTACTTAATATATACTTATTATCCACTTGTACATCTCCATCTTTTTAATATTTACCTTGTTATATATATTTATTGTTATTTACTTATATATATTAAAGTATTATATATAAGTGTATTACTCATCTTATAGTAATATACTTATATATTATATACTATAAACATTATATTATATATTAGTTATAGAATTATATTAGTTACACTTGAATTCATAGTAATTAAATTCATTGTATTAGTTAATTTTTACATTTTTCATTAAAGTATAAAACTAGTTAATTGTTACATTTTTCATTCAAGTATAAAACTAGTTAATTGTTACATTTTTCATTCAAGTATAAAACTAGTTAATTGTTACATTTTTCATTCAAGTATAAAACTAATTAATTGTTACATTTTTCATTCAAGTATAAAACTAGTTAATTGTTACATTTTTCATTCAAGTATAAAACTAGTTAATTGTTACATTTTTCATTCAAGTATAAAACTAGTTAATTGTTACATTTTTCATTAAAGTATAAAACTAGTTATTTGTTACATTTTTCATTCAAGTATAAAACTAGTTAATTATTAAATGTTGCATTAAAGTATAAACTAATAAAAGTAGTTAATTTTATTAGTCGCATTTTATTATTACTATTGTACTCATATTAAAACATTTGATATCATATAATATTTGTTACATTTTAAAGATGGACCGTGCCAGACATTCCGTAGATGTGGGTAGTCTCCAACGCAACCGAAGGAAGGAGATTGCGACAAGTTATCCTAGTTTACGCAAAGGCAAAGGTAAAGGGCGGACCGGGTCTTCTTCTCAAAGTCGAGAAGATTTTGATGACGGATACCAAAGGCGAGATGGGGATGCGATGTTCGACGAGCAACTACAACAACTATTGGCGCAAAATGATGGTCGCTTTTTCCAACAACAAAACATCCCGGAGTCCATTGATGAAGAGGAGCTCGAGGATGACGATGCGGAAGAGGACGAGGGGGGCGACAGGACTCACGGCACCCCGGATGATTAGCAAGAGTTGGAGGATGAGGGCGGTCCATCCCAAGTTGGTAAGAAATCTAAATCTCCTATTATAGAAAATAATTTTACAAAGAGGAAAGACCCAAAAACCAATAAATGGTACACAAGTTGCGATCATTGCAAGAAGGAGTATAGCTTGGGAACATCCGGCGGATACGGGAGCCTCAAAAGGTATCTTAAGTCCGCGCACTCTATGGAGTATGCGAAAATAGACAAAGGGAAGGGGAATCAAACTCAAATATCGAGGTTTGCAAATGACCAACCTTTTGACAATTTCTCATACAGTGATGCACAAAATTTGACTGGTATGGCTAACTTACTTGTTGAAGAAAATTTGCCTTATTTGTTTTCTGAAACTTTTAAAGATTATGCACAAACTTGTTTAAATTCTCAATTATGTGGTTAAGAAAGAAATTATAAGGCTTTATCGTGCGGAAAAGGATAGGTTACAAAATATTTTGCAAACTTCGACGGTCGTGTTACTATTTGTTCTGACATTTGGGAGGATACTTATCATAATTTACATTATTTGGTCCATTTTCCTTCTCCACGGAAGCTCCTAATCTGTCGTCGCCAACTCTTTCTCAGGCAAAGTAGAGTCAAGATGAGCAAAGGCAGCACAAGCGTCGTCAAGGGAGGGAAGAAGAAGGGAGCAAGTTTCGTGATCGACTGCTCCAAGCCGGTCGAAGACAAGATCATGGATATTGCCTCACTCGAGAAGTTCCTCCAGGAGTGCATCAAGGTCGGCGGCAAGGCCGGAGCCCTCGGCGACTCCGTCACCGTCACTCGTGGGAAGACGAAGATCACTGTCACATGTGATACCAATTTTTCCAAGAGGTATTTGAAATACTTGACAAAGAAGTACCTGAAGAAGAACAATGTGGGTGACTGGTTTCGTGTCATTTCTTCAAACAAGGATAAGAATGTCTATGAGTTGAGGTATTTCAACATCGCCAAGAATGAAGCTGAGGATGATGATTAAGTGTGCTAATCCCTACTTTCTTCCATACCTTTTGGATTTTGAACCTTGTACTTTTGAACACTTTGATATTGTTATTGTAGTACTTGTTTTAAACATCTTCCAATCAATGAATCACGTATTTAACAAAAAAAACATTATTTGGTATTGTTATTGTAGTACTTGTTATTGATAGTGATTGGAATTTGCATATACGTGTTCTTGCTTTTCGTGAATTTAATGATCGTCACTCCGCTGGACATATTTATATTTTGATTGAACGTATTTTAACTGAGTATGATTTGATTGATAAGGTGTTTGCTATAGGTTTTGATAATGCTACTAATAATACTGCTGCTATACCTAGATTGCGTGAATTATGTGGTTCTAATACTTTGATGGGTAGATTTTTTCATCAACGATGTGCATGCCATATTATAAATTTATTTGTGCAAGATGGTATAAAAGCGTTAGGAGATGCTATGGAAGTAGTCAAGGAGGGGATTAGACGTATTTGGGGCAATGGTCAACTTAAATTAAAATGGCAAAATTATTTGATTGAAAGAGGTGTGAAATATGTTGCTTTGCCTAAAGATTTGTCTATTCGGTAGAATAGTACTTATAAATTAATTAAAGTTCTTCTTAAATATAAAGAACATTTTCCTGTTTTTTTAAGACAATATGATAACTATATTTTAAACCCCGCTCACATCGACACTTGCGAAAAAATTTGTAATGTTTTGATATATTTTAATAATGCAACTTAAAGTTTTAGTCATGTTTATAAACCTACTTCAAACGAATTTATTAGTGAAGTTGTTAATCTCGCCGGTGCTTTTAATGAATTTGAGAATGCCGTTTACGTGAGTTATTTTTGTGGTTTTATGAAGGAAAAGTTTTTAAAATATTATGCACATATTCCGCATATTTATAGTATTGCATTTATTCTCGATCCTCGTTATAGACTTGGTAATTTGGAAGAATGTTTGAAGTTCTATTATAATGCTTTTTTTGGTCTATTTCCAATGTATGATGATACCGCCATAGATCCGCAAGTTGAATACAACGAGGTTAGTAATTTATTTTATGCCTTATTTAATGAGTTTCGTGCACAATATGGCAACGCGCCTCCTCCCCCGACACACACGTCTTCATCTAAAGGAAAATCATTTTTAAATCTGCTTTTGGCAATCTTATGAAAAAACCTAAAACAACTCACACTACTGAACAAAGCGCACTTAATGAGATTTCTTTGTATATAAATTATGAGGTAGAATTTGACGAAAATGAGGAGTTTGACGTTCTAAAGTGGTGGAAGTCAAAGGAAAGAATGTTCCTGATTTTGGCACGGATGGCTAAGCAAGTGCTATCAATGCCGATTTCAACAGTTGCCATGGAACAAGAATTTAGTTCGGCCGGCAACGTTCTAACGGCATCTAGAACGAGTTTGAGCGCTGAGTCTCTTGAGACGCTTATATGCTACCACAATTGGTTGAATGTCATACGTAGATGTCAAGAAGTTAGCATCACCCCCTCCCAAGACTTTATGGATGAATAAACAACCGAGGGTGGCTCCTATGCCGGAGATTCGGATTGATTAGTATTTTACAGTTTATTATAAAATGTATTTCATGTTTTAATTTTTCCTTCAATTCTCTATTGTAATTTGTAAAGTTGTATTTCATATTTCAAATAAATATACATTCTTTTTTTTATAAGTCGCACTTCTCAAATTAATTAATTAATTAATTGGTTACAAACTTACAACTTACAACTTACAATTTAGAATTTATTGTATTAGTATTTTTTGGAAAATGTATTTCATATTTAAGTTGTATTAAAAAGATAAAAAAAATATATAACCTAGGCCCGACACGACCCGGCGGGAGGCCCGACCCGAGACCTGGCGGGTGACCTGGTCCGAACCGGAACCGGGCGAAGGACGGGCCGGTTCCGGGCCTCCCTTTGTAGGACCGGAGGCCCGACCGGGCCTAGGCCCGGCCCGAACCGAGTCCAGCTCTATCACCAAATATCCTCATGTTGACAGATCTTAAACTGTTTCGGGAATAAGGTTTATATGTTTTTATTTATCACGGTTGATATCCAACTAGGAGTAAGACGAATAACTTTGTTTAGACAAATGAGCAACAAATATCCTCATCCTCCCCTCCATTGCAAGCAAACAAAAGTAACCCTTTCCAATAGGGCTGGACTCGGGCCGGGCGGCCCGAACCGGAACCGGCCCGGCCCGGTTACTGTGCGAACCGGCCCGGCCCGGTGGCCCGGTCCACCGGCGGTTCGGGTCGAACCGGCCCGGTGGATACCGGTTCCGGGCCCGGGCCCTCCATTTGGTGAACCGGCCCGGCCGGTTCGGGCCCGGTCCGGGCCGGAATAATTTTTTTTTTATTTTTTTTTTTGAAATTTTTTTAATTTTTGGGTTGGATTAGTTATTTTGGGCCATTTGAGGTGGTTTGAGGTGGTTTGGGGTTGAGGAGGAGGGGTAGAGGGTTAAATAAAAGAAGCCAAAAATTTAAAAAAAAAATAGGGGCGGGTGAACCGGCCCGGAACCGGCCCGGTCGGGCCCGGAACCGGTCACCGCCGGTTCGGGCCCGGGCCCTCCTATTGGTGAACCGAGGCCCGGCCGGTTCAAGGCCCGAACCGGGCCCGGCCCGAACCGAGTCCAGCCCTACTTTCCAATGATGATTTTACTTTCTGATGCCCAACCGAAGATTGACCAAAGGTTTTCTATGTGGGCTTCCTTAGAGTCTGAATTGCATAAATTTTGCCTAAACAGGCTCAAAGGAAAGGTAGGATGGAGCAAAAAAGAGAAGTATTGTAAATGTACCTACATTAAGCAATTGATTGATAAAAAAAAGTCACAACACTGATGTCTAGAAGACTAGAACTCCCAACAATAAATAGAGTTCTAGAGTTCTTCAATGGAAAGTAATATATACGAATACAAAACAAGCAACATGTTTGTTTTAGAAAACCATAGGATAGAACACAAATTCGGCCTGTAAATTAATGGACTGCCGGCATCAAGTTCCCATACACGACACAATGTTCAAAATCACCAATTTACAGTTACTTTCTCCTGCTCACAGCAATGCAACAGTAACTTTAGCACTTCATGCTTTAACACTTCATGATCAGCTTGTTTGGAGAAAACAATATATATCAATCAATCAATCATCATTTACCCCAGTGCTGCAAAGGCTCCACCTACGGTGGGGTAAGGGGGGTCGGATGTATGCAGTCTTACCCCTGTACAGAGACTGTTTCCGGATGACCCATAATGAAAATCGCGTCCGAAATTGCATGGACTGACTACTGCTTCACAACAAAGAAGAGCAGACAGTTTGGTGAGCCATTTTGCTTTATTCCATCATATTCTCAAACCAAAAAATAATGAATCTTTGGCTCTATTGAAAATGATGGAATCGTTTGGAGAAAACAATGCTTGAAGAAAATGTATGCCAAAGAATGGGAGTGTCTTCTTTTCTTACAAACTTTGGAGGGGAGTGTCAATCTAAGAGTAGTTGATTAGCAAAGCAATATGAACAATATTGTGCCGTACCATATGTAACATTATACTATGATACACAAACTTCAACACATAGATTAACTTAACAGTAAATGGCATGATCAAAGCAGTCCAAGGTTTAGCATCAGCTAAATGATACTAACCTTCAGCAACAAAAAGTAACTTAAGAGATAATGCAAGCAAGTTCAATTTTCTCCTAATTTGGCTGTTTGAACTCGTTTAGCACTACACGCCCACCATTACGCCTTCTGCTTTTTACTCCGATTATTTGGGTTTGGCATGAGTTTTATAAAAATGAATGAGGTAGTCGTCTTTTTACCAGTATAACGTACTAAAGGGAGAAAATGGAATATGTGTCCACAAAAAGTAAAGAGTTTCATTTTCATTTACCCTAGTGCCGCAAAGGCTCTCACCTACGGTGGGGTAAGGGGGTCAGATGTACGCAGTCTTACCCCTATACTAAAGCACAGAGAGACTGTTTCCGGATGACCCATAGTGAAAATCGCGTCCAAAATTGCATGGACTGATTGATCCTTCATAACAAAGAAGCGCAGACAGTTTAGTGAGCTGTTTTGCTTTATTTCATCATATTCTCAAGCCAAAAAATAATGAATCTTTGGCTCCATTGCAAAAAGTAAAGGGTGATATGACAAATAAAAAAATAGAGAAGGGGGAAATTAAATACTACCTCCGTCCCTTAAGTTTGGGACAAGAGAAGGTGACACGGTAATTAATAAAAGTGAGTTTATGTGGTTGGTATTGAATTGATAAAGTAAGAATAAAGCAGGAATGGTTTAGAAGCACACAAACTTTACCAAATAAGGTATGGGACAATCTTAGTGGGACGAACCGAAATGGTAAAATGGGACAATCATAGCGGGACGGAGGGAGTAGTTAGAAACTTATCAGAGTTTTAATTAGAAACAATTTTCATAATTTTTGGGACAAATGAAAAAAAAGAAAGTGTATTTGCCTCCCCAAAACACTAATTTTCATCCAATTCACTCAAAAAATCCAACAGTATCAGATGAAATACAAGAATCAATGCTAAACCTTACAATCATATACTTGCAGCATAAAAAAAAACCATAACATTCATCAAAAAGTTGAAAGAAAAGTTAGAAAAATAGTACTATATATTCTGGTTTAACTTCAAACACTGCAAACATGCAGGCATATCATGTTTATTAGATGCAATAGAAGAAATAATCACTCTTGTTTAAGGAATCTACAAAGAGAAGATTGAAAGAGTAGATATAAACCTTCAATATCCTCATGAGAAGTCGACGAGTCGAATAATCCTACTTAGAGCTGGAGATGTTAAAAATATATAAACGCATAAAATACTGTATGGCTTTGCACATAAATGTGTTCAAATAACCATATCTTCAACCTGGGAAAAGCTCCTGGCTGCTTGATGGAAGCCTTCACAGCCGCCAAAACAAACCGATCCCATGATATTTTCCCAGAACTGTATGTTTATACATGAAACCTAGTAACTAGAGAACAACCTGCCCCACATGTCTATAGATGGAATTTTGAGGATAAAAGATATGACGGAGGAAACTCTGGTTTAGCAGCTAAAAACGCCATACGCAGCGGCAAAGAAAGTCTTTGGCTCTTACAAAAACGGCAACCAAAAGTCCAAAACTGGAGCAATGGGATAATAACAGAATAACGGGGTAAAAAAGCCTGTTTGATTTAACTGAAAAAGTGACCAAAGTAACATCTATTGATATTTTATATCTGTACACAGAAATAATTTATTTTTTATATTTAAAATTGTACCTACTACCTACAGATCAATGAAAATATAATACTGCATCCACTTATTTTTCCTTGATCAACTCTGCTTTTATGGAAGCTTTTTATTACTTAGCTTGCTCTAATTTAATTTTCATTACTTGAAATTTTACTTTTATGTTTTAATTTTTGTCAAAATAAAACAGAGGAAGTAAAAATTTGCAAGATTTATATTCATGTACAAGTTATTACATTTTCCTTAGTCAAGATAACAAGTTATTACGTTTTCCTTTTCTCAATACATTAATCAATATATTCATTCTATTCTAATATGAACAAAAAGAATAAGTGAAGAGCTACATAATTCAATCTCTTAATTTTTAAAGTAATCATACAATTATATTTACTTCCTAATGAATCATTTTTTAATAACTTCAAAAAGTACTATGTTTCCAAACCTTAGTCATGCGGATACGAAAAAATGTATGTTTTCGATTTGTTTGATCACACAGAAATACCTGTAATCAAAATATCTTGCTCCCATAGCTAAGTTTAAGTTCCTATGGAATCTCATACATGAACTGGAGCATCGCCCCCAAAATCTACCATTTGCAAGCAAAGCTCATTAAGCATTGCATATATCTTCTCTCTTTCTGGATGCTGACCATCTTGAGCCAAAAACACATGAATCCCATCTTTGCCCTCAATCCAACTCCGGCCAGGAGATTTCTTTATGCCATCCTGTCTCATCAAACCTTTGACCATCGCGAAGTCCTTCCAATTCCCAGCAGAAGCATATATGTTGCAGAGCAACACATGTGCTGCAGAGTTTGAGGGATCAATCTTCAAAACATTCTCAGCGGCCCTTTTTCCAACATCAAGATTATTGCGAGTTCTACATGCTGCCAACAATGTTTTCCACATTACAACGTCAGGTTCGAACGGTGTTTGGTTTATAAAAGCTTCCGCTTCATTTATGCATCCAGCTCGGGAAAACATGTCAACCACACAAGAGCAGTGTTCTCTTGTGGGTACAATTCCATACTCGGTCTCCATTTGTTGGAACAACGCCCAACCCTCCTTCACCAGTCCAACATGACTACAAGCTGTTAGAACGCCAACGAAAGTAACCGGACTTGGTTTGACCCCTAAATCCCTCATTTCCCTGAAAAGCTTTAGAGCTTCTTCGCAAAGCCCGAACTGAGCACACCCCACAATCAAACTACTCCACGAGAACACATCAGCGCTCTCCAAACCATCAAAGAGCTTTCTGGCATTTCCTAATGATCCACATTTCACGTACATGTCGATTAACCCATTCCCGATCGTGGCATCACGGCTAAGCCCGGTTCTCAAAGCATAGAGATGTATTTGGTCTCCAATTTCTAATGATGATACCTTCCCACAAGCCCCGATTACATTGACTAAAGTGATATGGTCGGGCTTATTATCAGGAGATTTATGGAGCATTATCTTAAACAGAGAGAAAACTTCTGCCACCTCATTGTGTTGTATATGAACCGTGAGAATGGCATTCCATGAAACCAGATCAGCATTGTGTTGAATTTCATTGAATGCCCTACAAGCGCTTGGAAGATCTGAACAATTTGAATACATTGAAATCAGCGTGTTACACACTGGAATGTTTGAATCAAACCCCATCTTGATTATAAAGCAATGTACCTGTTTTCCTTGAAACCATGTGAAGGGACAGTTAAAGGAACACAGAAGAGAACGCATTGTGAGATCATCTGGAGCCAACTCCACATGCCTCATCTGCGAAAATAAAATCAATGCTTTATTAGAATCTCCGTTAGAAGAAAAACCATTAATGATTGCATTCCAGGAGACTAAATCAGGGCTGTCTATATGGTAGAATGCAGTTTCTGCAGATTGTAATAGGCCACATCTAGCATACATATCAGCAAGAGAACAACCGGCATAAGTATCTTTCTCAAGCCCAAACTTTATACAAATACCATGTGCTTGTTTTCCGTATTCAGGCTGCATAATACCACTGCATGCACTGAAAATACTGCCAAAAATAAATTCGTTCAGTTGGTAAATTCCCAAACCAAACATTTCCTTAAAATGATACAGAGCTTCGAACTCATAACCATGTTGTGAAAACCCGGCGATGATTGAACTCCATGAGATCAAGTCCTTTGACTTCATATAAGAAAACACATTCCCTGCCTCACAAATCTTACAGAACTTTGTATACATTGCAACCAGTGCATTTTGAGGGATGAGATGGGACCCGTGTTTGGACTTGATGACCTGGCAGTGTAACTGCTGTGCTAGCTCTAGCTTACCCAAACTACAACAAGCTTTTAGTAACGCCCCAAAAGTGAATGGGTCAGGCATGACTCCAGACTCTCGCATTTGAAAATACAATCTTATTGCTTCCATTTCCTGGTGATTTTGGGAGTACCCAGCAATGATGGAAGTCCAAGAAACCACATTTCGCTCCAGCATTTGATCAAATACCTTTCTAGCGTCCTTCATAGAACCACACTTTCCAAACATGTTAAGAACATGATTTTGAAAGATCGTGTCAGGCTCATATCCAGACATCAAGACATGGTTGTGTAGTTCTCGTGCAGATTCTAACGACCGTAAGGATGAGCAGGCGGATAACAAGTTAGTGTAGGTGCTCGGGTATACATAGTGATCTGTGGTCCTCTTCAAGAGCTGGAATGCCTCGAGAGCTCCTTTAAATTGCTTCCGTTTGCACAGTGAGCTAATGTAATCGTTACTCCATTTTTCGTTTATGAAGTGTGTCCCAGTGGTATGAGTAATGTTGATAGATGTTATTGTGGATAGCAGCCTATAGAGAGATTCTTTCAGAAAATTCGTTGAGCATAGTGCACGCGGACAGAAAAAGAGCATTAGAAATAACCTCTGAAGTCCGACAATATGAACTTTTGAGCAATATTGGGCAAAGGATGAAACTTAGCCTGCAAAAGAAAGAGAAGTGGATGACAAAGTCGATGAAGAGAGGCATTAGAGCATCTCCAATGCAATGGGTGCATCGGAGTTGATGTGGCAATTAAATGGAAGGAGTCTATTTAAAATTAAAGAGTCCATTCAAATAGGTCTCCAATGCTAAACAAAAAGCAAATGTAAAACACATAGGAAGCAACTTGTAGGAGAGAGAGGGGGTGAGACCCATGGTCCCAATGTAGACCTCCTCTTGGACCTTGGACCTTGGTCATTGCCAACTAGGATAGACCTCATTTTTTTGTTTTTGCATTGGAGAGTACATTGGATCCATTGGGTAAGGTGGATGACATTTTTTGGCAATCCACCTACCCATTGGAGATGCCCTTAGGATAGGGTGGGTGTTAAGAGCGCGCGAACAAGACCTCATCCAAGGTCGAGAATGGGAGAATGGAAGCGAACTAGGGAAAAAAGAAAGATCAATTTTTGTATCTATTATGAGCACCAGAAGAGAAACGAAAATAATAATGTTTTATTGGAATTAATTTGGTGTCTGACCTAGTCAAGACCTACCAGAATTAATTCTTCCAAAAGTCCCTTATTTATCAATACTAGGGTCCCTTATAGCTACCATCATACCTCTAATTCTAATAGGACATAATGATAATTGGAAACTATCTAAATGTCTAAAACTGGAATAGAAAATAACAATAGTAGTTTGATTAGGAAACTAATACTCCCTCAGTCCCATTTTGTAAGATACTTATCTTATTCACTTGGTCAACACAAATCACTCTTAATCTCTTACTTTATATATCAATTGTTTTTTATTAAATTTGATCCTGGTTTTTGCGACTTTGTAAAGCTTTTAATGTAGTTTCTTAATATGTAATTCTTTTTTTCTAAAACTAATTTGAGTGCGGATAGGGATCCGTTTGCTTTATGGTCGGTCAAACATCGTAAACCGTAAAGTGCCAAAAAAATTGGGACGGAGGGAGTAATAAATAATCTCGTTTCTCAAGCCAGTTTTAGTCTCCAGGGTTAGATACAGGTTCTGCTTAGGCCTCACGTGCATTGCTTGTGTCTTTGTGGCCCAATCGTCGTCGCTGATAGGCACGACCCAGAATGCATCCATATCAATGGGTTGGTGGACAAAATTCGCACGGTAAGCAAAACAAATCGAACCTTAAGAAATTCAAAACCATCGTCATCACCCCAATGCCGCAAAGGCTCCCACCTACAGTGGGGTAGGGGGTCAGATGTACGCAGCCTTACCCCTATACTAAGGTACAGAGAGACTATTTCCGGATGACCCAACGTGAAGATCGCGACGAAAATTGGATAGACTGACTGCTACTTCATAACAAGGAAACAAGACAGTTTAGTGAGTCATTTTGCTTTATTCTCTCCCTATTTTTCTTGAACGTTCCTATCTTTCTTTTGAAAAAACTTACTTCCTATTAATATCAATATATTTTATCATTTTTCAGTTTCATTTCCAAAATATTTGAAATTCAAAACTGAATTCAAAAAATCAAAACGTAGGTGTTTTGTTTTGGTTTTCACCTTTGAAACTGAACCAAACAATCCAAAATTTTAAAAAATGTTTTTATTTATTTTTTACTCATTAAGTATATATATTAAATTAATAATTTATTTAGTTCTTAATTCTTAATATTGACATTTGATATTAATGATTTAATTAAGTGAAGCACTTGTACACACTTTTATTTATTATGGGAAAAGGGGCAAAAATGATAATGTTTTGTTTTAGGGGAACCGGGGAGATATGATCCTAAACTTTTTTGGGGTGAAATAGCTTGAGGAATTATGATTTTTGACAATTTAGGCACCTCCACTCATGGTGCCGTTAGTTTTAACCTAGGCCTAAGTAAATAAGCCTCAACAAAATTAAAATTGAGCGGATGATTCTCTTCTTCTTAAACAAAAAGGAGCTAAAATGGCGTACCATGTTTTCCTTCTGATCCAGCAATGGTTTAAACCTATATGTTGTAAAAACCGGACTGTGAACTAACCCGGACAGATAACTACGTCACAGATAACTACGTCACAGGTCAACTCGGTCCCGACCGGTCAGCCTGATCAACACCAATGAATAAATATATGTATATATAAGATAAAACTGTCAATTTGGTCTTCGTACTATCACGAAAAAGTCAATTAGGTACTCATACTTTTAAAAAATCAAACAAATTCTCGAACTTTGTAAAAACGTTCAATTGAGTCCATTTGCAGGTTACTTGCAACGTCAGCAGGTCACTTGCTGAAGTGGCGTACACGTGGCGCTCCCTATGTGTGCCACATCATCATCTAATGGCTGACAGGACTTCCACATGTGCGCCACATCAGCAAAGTAATTACTGACTGGGCTGCCACATGTGTGTCACGTCAGCAGGTCACCTGCTGACATGACAAGTAACCTGCAAATGGACTGAAACAAACGTTTTTACAAAATTTGGGGATTTGATTGACTTTTTTGAGATAGTACGGAGACCAAACTGACAGTTTTCCCTATATATAATTATATAAAACATTAAAATCATTAATAGAAAAGTTATACTACTTCATAATTTTAATATTGAAAATACAATATAAGAAAAATAAAAAAAACTACTATGTATTGAATTAAAGTATATTGGTTTTAACAAAGTTTAAAGTACAATTGGAGTTATGTGGACAACAAAATGCAACATAAAATCAATTACAAAAACAGTTAAAAATATTAAACAAATATATTTGGAAGATGATATACATAATTGAAAGGTATATTAATAAAATTACTTTGTATGTATTATTGTTGTGTTATTAATTAATGGGGTTAAGACAATAATAATACTAAAAATTAACAAATTGACAAAAAAGAGACCTTTTTTTAACTTCTAAAAAAGACACTAAAAAGGAGTAAGAGGACTATTATACCCCTTCCCACTTAATCCATTACTGGAGTGACTAACGTCATACAGACCAACCTTACACTTACCTAACCTGTCAATTATAATTACTCGACTCACCAACCACAATTACTCAACTCGTCAGTTACACTTACAATTATCTTACCCAACTAGTTACAGTTACTCGACCCAACTAGTTACAATTAACGAGTCCAACCAGTTACAGTGGGTCAGACCAATTACAGTTACCCGGACCGACCAGTTACGGTTACCCGGTCTGACCCGTTGCAGTTACTCGGTCCCATCCCGAGAAAATGGGGACCCTATGCAAAAAAAAAAAAAAAAACAGGCCTTCCTTTTCAAGATCCAACACAAGTTATTTGTGTTCAAAAACTTTTTTTTTGATCGGTTGTCTTCAAAAACTTAAAATACAAGTTAGTAATGAACATTAAAAAAATCTTTAATAATTACAAATTTTGGGTTAAATTTTAGTTTAGGTTTTGGGTGAAATGATGAAGAGCTATAATTATTATAAACCTAAAGTTACCTAATAACATACTTCTAAGTAATTACCAATATTTCAATTGTTAATACTCCGTAAAATTATTATCAATTGAATTACTTAATTAATAACACTAATAAATAAACATGTAACACTGTCTTAATTCAGTAATTTGTAATTGAAAAGAGAAAATTTAGAAAATGTTCAGTTGCTTACCGAGGTGACTGGAAAATACCAAGGCTGTGAGAGACAGAACTGGCGAGCCGCGGTCCACAGAGGGGCTGAGACGCAGAGCCGCTGAGGGGCCCAGTCGCCGCTGAGGGCCGTGAGCCCGTGACTCCTGCAAAAACTCCTGGAGGCGGGGAGCGGTGGCGGGATGGGCGGATGGAGATTGGCGGGCCGGCGGCGAAAGAGATGGGCGTGTGTTTCTTATAATCCGTCGGTCTTTCGGTCGTACTCGTCTGTCCCAGCGTCACTCCGTCGACTCCCGCTTGTGGCTGGTAGAAATGGGCTGTGTTTCTTATTATCAATGCATGTTTTGTCCAAAAAGCTTGGGTCTCTAAAAGCAGAGTATATAAGAGTTTTTCGAAAATTTAAAATATTTTTGAGATCCTAGAGGGAGCAGCATTTGGGAAAAACATGTGACTTATATCAAATTGAACAAAATTAAGCAATCAATTTTTTATGCTAACATATTTTCCTTTTAACATCTTTTCAATCACATTTTTTTCCAGTTTATGTTGGCATAATAATAATAAACTTGTAAATAGCCCAAATTTTGTCTTGAAGATTTAATAAGTCTAAAAATCAAAATTAAAAATTCAGAATAACTAGTTGAGAAAGGACAACAACCAAAACTATAATTGCTTAGCATAAAATTTTCCAGACGAGATAGCTTTAGTCTTCATCATCCTCAATATAGTAGTGCATAAGCCCTTGAGTCCCTCTAGAGCCTCGGCAACAGTAACGAGTGAGTAAAGTTCTTCCTTCACATCTTCATCATCATTCCTCTTCCTTGCAATTCGGACACGAACCATTTTCAGCACACTTCAGATCCCTTTGCTCCAAATCTGTTTGTTTAGTTTCACATCAACCCTAACATCTGTTGTTCCCATTGCTTTTTGAGCACACTTCCTTATCTCCTTTATTGCCTTGGTGCCTTCTTTTCAGTCACTAAAAGCCAATAGTTACTAAAAAGCTTACAAAACTATCTTTTCAGTTAGTTGTGTCAAACATACCTTTAATTTCTTGGGTCTAGGTTGCAGCTTAGTAATAGCACTATGGAGTATTAAATTTGTGTGGGCCTTTAAAAATAATGGCCCTTGTGCAAGTGGGATGGGTGCCCTTTTTTGGGTCGGCCCTGCTCGGTCCAATAGTGACCACCACTGGCCAACGTCGCCGGTTACCAACACCAGCCGCCACCATTCCATCGCTGTCGTCGGAATCTATCCACACTGAATCGACGAACGATGGCGATTCAAACCATTTTTGTTATCCAATCGCCAAAAAACAGCGCCAATGGCTCCTCAATCGCCATAGAGAAGAAGAGAAGAAGATATGGTGCTTGCGCCATTGCGGCGATGGTGGAGGACGATTCTGGTTGAGGCGATGGTGGGAGACGATGGTAGTTGCATCGATGGTCGGAACCAGATAGACTGAAGGGAGAAGATCAACACAGGCAAATGCAAATGCAGATCGATAATCAGATGCAATTGGATTGATCCGATTACATGTTTTTGTATTTATACCAAGGAGGTTTCAGTCCATTCACACATATTTAACCTCTTTTTGTTTCAGATTTAAATTAAGTCCCATATTTGTCTAGGGCAAAGCCTGTGATCTCTTCTTTCTATCATTATTTCTTAATTGACTAGTATTTCAACCATGTGTTACATGTTTAAATTCTTAATACAGATTAGAGAGAATTAAAGGGCAAAACAACTTCGTGTTGAATTTCCTGGAGTAGTTCGTTCTCTATTTAGATGTAAACATTGAGTTTTCTAACATTTTTTATACATCGAAAAGGAAAGTTTCATAACACTTTGACTTTAGATAATCATGTGTTTATTTTTAAAAAAATTGAAATTTTGATAATTGTCTGTGTACGCAGAAAACTGAAAGGTGTGCACAAAAAATGTGTAAACTTTTGTGTACAATTAAAAAAACATATAGTTCTTGCCTTTCTCGCCACTCTCTCAAATAAAGTTCGGGTTACGCCACTGAGAGTGGTCACCTTTATGTTTAGCTTAGGGCAAGTCCGATGTATATAGCTAGGATGTTGTGGTTGTATCATGACCTTCGCGGTTTTAATAAAAGGCATTTTGTCTAAAAGAGAAATAAGTACACGCACTTGAAGTTTTTGCACATACACACACGCACACATACATACACGATACATACATGTATAGATAAAGGATCAAATACAAAATGCCCATAGTTTACAAGTTAGGATTGCAATGTAGTTTCAGATTTAGGTTTAATAAAGTTTTGTTAGGACTAGCGGATATTTAATACGAAGTGATAAATATAAGGGTATAAAATGGACCAGGATCCATATATCATTTCTAGTCACTTAAAATTTACGTTTTCCTAAAAGTTTATTATCTACCCTTATCACAGTAACCAGGTTACAAGATAAAACTTTTGGGATAAAAAGAAGATGTATGGTGTATTTTAGCTACTGATAAAATTACACCTAACAAGTCATTTGTATATAAAGTAGTCTAAATATTCTATCACTATTACTGCATACAATAGAGATAAAACACGACAAAATGAGAAGATAGAAAAATGCTGATTGTTTTTGAAAAATGCTGATTGTTTTTTAGCCACTTCGTAGTTTAACAAGATCCTTTATTTATAGATTAAGTTGTGTCTATTAATTAAAGATGTAGACGCTCATAAAAATCCAGTTAGAATGCATACGTATGTAGAGTCGTAGACTATGTCAAATAGCCGGCCAGACATGTAAAGACAAGTCCATTCAAGTGAACATACGTATTCATAAGATAACACATACGCATTTAAATTTATTTTAAAAAATCACAACTACACGAATGCATAAATTATCATTTTGTTTTATTATGGAGGATCCACTGGGAAAGCGCCGGGGAACACTTTCCAAATTTATTAAAGAAATTTAAATTACAAAATCAGATTTCAAATGCAAAAGTACTAGGGAAAGCACAAAAGAAAGAGTTAACAATTAAAGTTTCTTTCAGGCACCCCTACCAAGGTTGAGAGTGATTAGTTGTATTTATTGTGAAACGGAATGACACGTTGGACATAAGGAGGGTATGTCTTTGCCTCCGGATGTGATAATTTGAAGCGTTTGAGTGCTATTACTAGCTTGTGAGGCGAGTCGTAACTAGAGTAAATTGGGTAGATGAAATAGTCATCATCGTTCTGAAGCGTTGTTGTTTGACTACTTGTTTTCAACAAGTGGGACTGATATCCAACTTGATAAAAAAATTAATTTCCTTGTTCATAGTTTGGAGGAGAGAAGTCATTTTTCTTGTTTCTCCTTTATTTCATTTGTGTAAAATTATCCAATATAGTACATGCATCTTGTATTTCATTAATAATTTTTTTGTCATTGTTTCCCTCCACAAGATCTCTACCCTGAACACCTTCATATGCATCCATCCTAGCACGACCCAAATCCTTCTCCCCCGATTCATCAGATCGCTCTCCAAGGTCTCCACCTCTGACGTGGTTGACGGCAGGTGCGGTGCAATCACCAAGACATTATTCGGTGTGGTTCCATGCGTGGCAACTGGTGCCATGACGTGTGGTGCAGTCACCGACACAGTTTCCAATGGGGGATACCCCATTTGCTTGGGTTCAATCTCAATTATGTCATTCAAACTCTTCTCCCCCTTTTCATCCAAAGCATTATCCCGTTCCTCGGCCGTCAATTTTTTGCAAATAAATTGAGGGGTGGACTCAGGCCGGTTCGGGCCCGGTTCAGGCCCGGTTCAGGCCTGGGCCCGGCCGGTTCTCGGTTCAGGAAAGGGGAGGCCCGGAACCGGCCCGGGTAACCCCCGGGTCCGGGTCGGGCCGGGCCTCGGTTCAATTTTTTTTACCTTTTCCTAATTAACCCCTAACCCCCCCCCCCCACCCCCAAACCATCCCAAACCATCTCAAATGACCCAAAATACCCAGCCCAACCCAAAAACTAAAAAGAATCTCAAAAAATAAAAGAAAAAAATGGCTAAAGAGTCAAATAGACCCTTGAATTGACTTAAAGTGTTCAATTAGCCTCTTATATAGGAGATTTTGTCCGGCCGTCGCCAATTGGGGCGGTTCCCGGTGGAATTTTTTGATGAAATTTTTTGAGCATCTTCTTCAAGAAGTCTAGTTTACCCATACCAAATTTCAGCTAAAACTTCCACCGTGAAGGCAGTCAAATGATTTTTTGAAGATAACTGCGAAGTTAAACAGCGCAGTACATTTCAGAAAATCATTTGACTGCCTTCATGGTTGAATTTTTAGCTGAAATTTGGCCGGGCCGGTTCACATTTTGAGGGGCCCGAGCCCGGACCGGAACCCCAGTGGGTCGGGCCTACCCGAACTGGTCACTGACCGGGCCACCGGGCCGGGCCGGGCGTTCGGGCCGGTTCCGAGTCGGGCCACCCGGCCCGAGTCCAGGCCTATCCATATACTTTGCAATGAAAATAAAAGTTTGGGATTCATACATCATAGATTATTTGACTACTTTGCGGGAAGGTAGTCGGATAGGACATAAATTATCATTAAAAACACTATTTTTTTATTATTATGAAATATTAAGTCCACAATTTCACATGAACAGTAAAATTGTTCATAATATTTATAGTAATAAGTGTTTTCAATTAAATATTATTTTTAAGATTTTCATCTAATTTAAGTTGAGCACTTGAGCTATATTTTTCAATAAATTTTTAACAATCCTCCTCCATTTATTGAGAAATAAAAATTGCTCAATCTTTGTCAAATATACTACGGAGTACTTATCAAGACTTATGCATAATTGAAAGTATCATAAAGATTGAACTTTCATTTAGTATAATATTCTTTACAATATTTCGGATCATAATAGTAGACTAAGTTTTTTTTTTACTCTAGGGGGGTTGGGGGAGGGGGCTGGGGGGAGCCTGGAGTAATAGGGGCTGAAACTCACTCCATTGAGTTTCAACCCCCTATGTGTCTAGCGGGTTTCGAACTCGAGACCTTTCACTAGGCACGGTAACCTTCCAAGCAGCTGAGTTGGAATGCTTGGTTTAATAGTAGATTAAGATTTGAACTATATAACCACTTTGAAATACCTAAGATATTACGCACATAAATCTTTTTACAATTTCACTTAGAAACTTGACACTACTAACGGCCTTGTGTCCATATCCATTAATGAGCTCCAACAAGTCAAGTCGTGAGCTTGGTGAATCGGCCGCCATTCCAGCTCACATAGGTTAGGTCTTTTCAAACTGTGTTCTGCAATCAAACTCTTTATTAAAAGATCCATTAAGACATAGTCAGCCTCATTACGCATTGCAGACTCAAGCACTTATCTCGAGATGGTTTTCATTCAAAGTGCTTCAATCACGGAGTGACTTACTCATCGTCATTGAACTCAAGATCTAGGGTTGTACTAGACGTTGAGTTGGGCTTTCTTTCACTTATGATTATTTTCTAAGGGCTTTAACCACATCCTTTTTACTGTTTTGTACGCCATGTTTCTTGCATCGCCTTTGTAAAAGGATCCGCCAAATGTATAAGTGATCGTACAAAATCAATCACAACAACTTCAGAACTAATAAGCTCCCGCACAAAGATGTGTTTCACTCCTATGTGCCTTGACTTACCATTGTACACATGGTTATAAGCTTTCGACAGAGTTGATGCACTATCACAATGAATAGATATTGGAACCCCATGTTTAGACCATATCGGGACCTCTGACACTAAATCCTTTAGCCATTCCACTTCTTTACAAGCTGATGTTAATGCTATAAACTTTGAAGCCATGGTAGAGTCAGTGATACAAGTTTGTTTATTAGATGCCCATGAAATAGCACCTCCTCCAAGAAGGAATAACCACCCACTTTGTGGATGAATAATCCTCTAGTTAGTTATCCAACTTGCATCTCTATAACCTTCTAATGTAGAAGGTTTACTCTTATAACATAAGTTGTAACTTATTATTTTCCTTAGATATTTAAGCACTCGTCTCAAGGCTTGCCAATGAGACATACTAGGGTTACTGGTATATCTATTTAGCTTGCCTACCGCAAATGCAATATCTGGTCGAGTGCTAGTCATTGCATACATCAGACATCCAATTACCTAGCATATTGCAGCTGTGATACAACATTCCTACTATTCAGAACTAATTTCCAGCTAGGATCCATAGGAGTGGAGACTGGTGAGCAATCCAAACTCCCAAATCTTTTCAACACTTTCTCTATATAGTGAGATTGTGTTAAAAACGCAATTATCTTCAAGAATTCATTTGAATGTCTTCCCAACTTAAGTTTTATCTGAAATTTGAATGTTTTGATGCTCAAAAAATTTCATCAAAACATTCCACCAGGAACCGCCCCAAATGGCGACGGCCGGACAGAGCCTCCTATATAAGAGCTTATTTGATCTTTTTATGTAAGTTCAAGGGCCTATGTGACCCTTTTCCCTTAAATCTATTACATTCTAAGTGTAGACAATATAAAAATAACTTTGATTTTATAATTGAAGTGGTCTAGGAAAAAGTATGGATACCTTTAAGTGTAAGAAATAGCAAATCAAAGGAAAATTATTTGAAAATTAAAAAGGATATACTCGTATAACATGTTATCAAATTGCAGCGGATATCCCTGAGAGGAGCAGGTGTGGGGAAACCCTAGCAGTTGCCTCCTCATTTTCTCTTCTTTTCTTATCTTCTCTCAATCTCCTTTAATTCAATAATGAAAAAATATACTCTTAATTAATGTGTTCAAATTTATCTATATGTTTCTTTCCTAGTGCTGTTTAGAGATATTAAATTCGGTGGTGAAGTGTCATCTGCCAGATATTTATTTCTCATCATCTTCGGTCGGGCATTCTTGTGTGCTAATAAAAGGTTTGCACTGATATCGTCACCAATCAAGAATATGATTTTCCTTTGCATTAATGTTGAGACATATCGCCCCCTCCTGAACCACCGCCGTTCCAGGAAGATGGGATCACATGGAGTGCTTTCTTTCCGATGGCAGCTGGCGAAACTTGAACAAATTCTACGTTTGGTTCCTTACGGGTGGCCAGACAAACCGGGATGTTCAATAATTTATCTGAGAAATATTGCGATTGTAGCAGAAGCAGTCAATCTGCAGGTAGAGTCTACTTCTTTGCGATATTAACGATTCAGCTTTTTCAATTTGAATCGTTTGTTTCTATGTATCACTTCATTGTAGCCTTGAGATATATGATTGTAATTGTCCTTGTTATTTTTATTCTTAATAATTAAGGTATTTCCTTTCAAAAAAACATTTTATCAAATTATTTGAAGATAAAATGTTTAAAAGGTACACATCCACCAATAATTTTTGAAAACCATATGTCTTGTTTAGTCACATGAATCTTATCGAAATAAAGATTTGGTTTTTGAATTACAATTTTATCAATCAGGGAGGGTCTTCGTGAGTCATGAGGATTTTTCTTAATATTGCAATAGTATGTATCATATTATTTACTTTTAGAATAATACTATCCTCTGTTTTTAATCGCAACATGTTGAATTTTACACTATTCACATGTTCTACTTTGACTACATTTTACGCTATTATTTTATGAAACATTATTTTATAAAAAAATATTGTTCAATTCATCTTATTACAAATTTTCAAAATCTGATTTTTATTTTTTATTAATAGAGATTAAGATATAATTACGGTCAAAGACGTGCGTTGACAAGTCCGAAATGTTGACCGTTGCAACTAAAAAAGAACGAAGGAAGTATTATTTATATTGCTAATTCATACGAAGTATATATGGTGCATATATATTATATTTGTATTAATGCTAAAATAAGTTAAAGTTTATTTTCATGTAAAAAGTGTTTTTAGAAAGTAAGAAGTAATTGAATTATAATTTAATGTCAACAAACATTTATAATAAGTACTCCGTATTATATTAAGTACGCCTATATATTAATTTTCAAAACTAAAAGTTAAGAGGAGCGAACAAATATATATCCAATTTAAGTATGAAAATTTTATGAAAATATTATACATATAATAGAAAATTTTGAAAGTCCAAAGAGGGCAATCACACACTCACACCCCCAACCTAAGTGGCCCCCGCCCCCCGCCCCCCCTCAATCCATCGCTGCTTCTTTCTCTCTAAAAAATCTCTCTGCTCAAGTTTATGACTTCCGAGCCAAAGTTTTGCTAATTGCTTCCCATGGAACTTCAGTATATCTTGACCGTACCCCGGGTTTGTTAGTGTGTTCCTAGGACAACCAAAGAAGAAGACACTTTAGACGAACACTAGTGGATTCAAAGTTTCAAACCGGAAGAAGCTCGTTGCACTACGCAAACATTAGCTATATGTGCACAGATAAGAAGGGTTGGTATAAACATTCATTAGTTGTTTGTGACACACAAAAAAATAATTGTACATAGACGATAGTTATATGTGCAGTCATTGGTTATATACTACTACCTCTGTTCCACTAAGTTTGGGACAATTTGATTTACGATGTTTGACCAACGATAACGCAAACAGATCCATGTCCGCACTAAAAACAAATTTAGGAATTATTTTTTTACATATTCAGAAACTACATTAAAAGATTTACAAAGTCGCAAACACCAGAATCAAATTTGATAAAATTTGATATATAAATTAAGAGATTAAGAGTGATTTGTGTTGACCAAGTGAATAGTGTCTGGAACAATCTTAGCGGGACATAGGGAGTAACTAATAGTTTTAAAAAAACCAAATAACCCATAAACTGGCCTAGGCTTCGATGTTTTAAGAGTTAAGACTTGGTCGCGCCTTGACACGTCTTGCGCCTTTTACAACACTGATTATATTATCTTGCCGAATGGAAGAGTTCTGCCTATTGCCTAATATTAAAAATTCCTACATCCAGGTTATGTATTACTCAATGTTTTTGTACCATATAAATGCAGTCACAAATTAAAGAAAAAATATTCAAATAATTTCTTGTTTAGTTGAATGACTCAAAGCAATTAAGCAAGTAAAAGAGTTTATGGGGTTTTAGCATGAGTGACAATACCCCAAGCTAATAATATAGTAACACTAACAATGAATTTGCTAACAGTCTAACTATCTAATTAAATAGCCAAGTAGAAGGAACTAAAGAAGTAAACGAGAGATTGAGAATGGTAAGGGATAATAGTGATGAAATGAAATGGAAAGGTGGAGAGGAAGACCAGACCAGTATAGCATTGCATTGCCGGCAAGATCATTCCAAGTGCAACAGATTCCCACCAATGTTTTGAGCAACGACAACTTCGGATGTTTTGCGAATACCGGTAGTAAAGTCAGCAAGCCCCCTAACTCGAAATTCCTTCCAAACAGGATCTGCCCCGAACTTATCAGCCAAAACCCAAAGAGATAGTGTTCCTTGCAGGATCAGCAATGCGATTTCCCCAGTTGGAGTAGCAGTAATAAAAGTCTTGTCTCCCTCCAGAATCCCTTCCTCTAATGGGATGGGGAAAGCATACTTCCTCCAGGAAGATGTCTCCAAGCTCCAAGCAATAACCTGCTTGTTCCAGTTGACATACATGAAAGCAAACCGCCCGTCCAATTCTACCCACGAGGCTTTTCTGAAATATGTGAATGTTGCCGGAGGAAGAGAAATCTGGTGGAAACTCTCAGACCTAACATCGAATGCCACCAGCTCGGAGCATTCGCCGCCAAACAGATACTCCCACTTGCCCGAACGACAAAGCAGCTCATTGTAGAAATAGATCACACCTTTAATGCAAACACTATTCGTGAAACGTCTACTAATGTGAAAGAATACAGGGCTGACAATATCCCGCCACGTTTCGTCCACGCCCAGTGTGAGCACCCAGCAGTTCATTGTCCTCAAGTTAAGGTTCGCTTCTGCTTTCAAAACCTTGTATGTTCCCGAAACCCCGTCGTAACCCAACAGCGCACGTTCTTGTGCGCTGCTGGACGGAGTTGTCGGGAGAATAGTATGTTTTCCTGTGATAAGGTTAAAAACAATCAATTCGGAATGTTTATTGAAGAAACATATTTGATCTTTGGCAAAAGACATAGATCTGCCATATTGGAACCATCCTTTGCCCGTAGGCCTAACAATTTTTGCTCGAAGGATCTCTCCGGCCTGATTTTCTTCATAATTTAAGGTGTAAAACTGCTCTCGCCCGGAGTCGAGCATGAGGGGCCCGGTTGAGTCGTGATAACCCGTCATAATCTTAGACTGAATGGAGAAGAGAATGGTTGTGCCGTGGTTAAGAGCCGCAGACAAATTTCTTTGAAACTCGGCGAAACTTGGATCGGTCAATATGGAACGGAAAGATTTAGAAACGCAGCTTAGCTTCCCACGAGATTTAGCGCCGAGTCGAACCAGAATCTGGAAAAGGATGTCTCGGGGAAGAAGTGAAAAGCTGTAAGAGACCTCCATGGCTATGGGTTAACGTTGTAGTAGGAAGATGTATTTACCTTTCCCCTCTTGTTATTAGATCGGCTCATAGGCTTATCGTCCGTGGTCAGGTCTAGACTCTGAGTTCTTGTTGGACTATGAAAAGTGGATGGAAAATAGGAGTGGTTTCAAACGGTCCCCTTTTCAACTAAAACCAAATAACGAATCAACATAAAAAGTTCGGTTCGGTTTTATGTTCAAAATTTTGGAACCACGGTTTGAATGATGTTTTGGTCCATGTTCGAATGATGTTTTGGTCCATGTTTGGAACCACGGTTTGAATGATGTTTTGGTACATTTTGGAACCAGGTTATTCCCTAGAAGGAAATAACCTGAAAACCGACCTTGGTCCGGTTCGAATGATGTTTTGGTCCATGTTTCTTCTTTCTAATTGGCATGAACAAAACAACGGACTGAATCTGAAAGTTTGGGCTCATAAATAGGTCCTAATATCTATAACCTGAAATACTTAGATTTAATGTAAAATCAATACAATATACCAATACGGAGTATAATTTAGAAATAATTCCTAATATATGTGTATAATTATGGTGGATGAAAAATGATTTAACTTTTAGTGACTCCAACTAGGTTCAATTTGTATAACATAATGACAATAAAAAATATATTTATAGTAACTTTAGTTACATTTTTATACAAGCTATATATATTTAGTATGTAATAGTATATATTTTTAGATAAACCTATATTATTTATTTATATGCATCTTAAACAAAATACAACCTTAATTATTTATTTTGCATTCAAATTGTTAGTGATTTTGGAGACTAATATTTGTGTTACTATTTTTTATTTGTATTTTTGATTAGTTTTATGTGAAAATGAGTTTTAAAATATAAAAGGATAATGACATGGTTTCACATTCAGGCTTTAACCGACTCCACCCGAACCAACACTACTAAAATCTGAAACCGACGGAATACAATGTAGTTTGTTTCGGTTCTTAATTTTCATAACTCGACACCTTACGGATAATTTCCAGGTTTAGCGAAACCCGACCCACAACGGACCGATACCACCCAATACCGATCATAATCGGGCCCGAGTCGAGCTTCGTTGTTTTTTGTCATATAGTCATTAAAATTCAATGATTGATATAACAAAAACGCAATTCTTAAATTAAAATCTTATAGAATAGAAAAATGTCATTGGATGTATTAAAAACTAATTCAGTACAACTTGTCGAACATTTTAGATGCAAATGTATAATCAAGTTTGCATAATGTATGTTATCAATGAATTATTTCTCAATTGATAGCATAGATCCAGTCAACCTTACTTGAGACATGATTGAAGATGTATTCTACGAAGTGACTATTTTATTTGAAATCAAGTACTACGTACGTATTAATGTTTCCGGTCTGACTTTGAGTTAATGATTTTCTTTTCCAAATCACTAACAATATATATTAGTAATTTTTAATAGCCTAATATAATTTTATCTACTCTTTCCCATTATTTCACAATTTTCTCTATAAAATACAAAGCATTAAATTTAAGTAATTTTGAATTGAGAATTCCATAATCGCAATACTCATAACACTAAATAAAAAGCAACCAATAATCAACTAGCATTTAAAAACTTACAAAATTAGCTCATTTGGCATTCACACATGAAAAATTAGTTATACATCTCATTAGCATTTAGCAAATCAATATAAAGTTACAAAATTTCTGAAAATACAAAAAAATAAATAAATAAGCAAATAAAAAAACATAGACTGATTGATAGTTTGATCAAACTAACTATAGAACCTCGAGCCTAGAAGAAAATAAAAGTCGAACTGTCCAAGGGTAAAAATAAGAAATAACTAGAAAATACAAATGTATAATACTAATATATATATATATATATATATATATATATATATATATATATATATGGGTGAGATCACATACAAACTAGTCTTCTCATGTTAACCTACAAACTATCACAAACTGTGCATCTTTATATTATTTGTATGCATATTGAAGTTCAAAGTGTTGCATATTATTTGTACTGCATATTAAAGTTCAAAGGGTTGCATATTATTTGTAATACATATTGAAATTCACAGTGTGCATCTTTACATTATTTGTACTGCACATTGAAGTTCAAAGTGTTGCATATTATTGAGTTTGTAGGTTAGTATTTTAAGCATGGTTTGTATTTGATCTCTTACCTATATATATATATATATATATATATATATATATATATATATATATATATATATATATATATATATATATATATATATTGGTTCAAATGAGAACGAGTCTTAACATGAGAACGTGAGAACAAATCACAGTCATCTATCAGATGATCCGATTTGCGCTCAACTTAAATTAGGCGAAGGTTATTTACGTATTTTAATCCTAAGCGGTTTTGGTAACTGATTAAAGGAAGTTAATATATTCATCCGGAGCTGACTTTTTAATCATTGAAAGCATTCAATTCCATATAATACAAAACACTGTTGGAGAACTTTTTGCATTTTTTAAAATCAAAGAACATACTCACGGAATTAACATTTCCTTTTAGAGGACTCTTTGCGTGTTTTTTTGGAAATGCCGTTCCTTTTTATTCAATTTGTTGTTATGTCATGTTCTTCTCCACTAAAATGTAATTTCTTTTCTATTCATTTATTTTGCATCAAATATTAATTGTAGTGTGTTATATCCTAGCTAATAGTAAGATGGTCTATTCATGTGTTTTAAATATTGGTTATTGTTTGTGAAATACTGATTCTTGTGCGGTAAATACTTACTTTGATTATGTGTATATATTATATGTTAGGTACCGGTTCTTGGGTTTGTATTTGTATTGTGCATTAGATATTGATTCTTGTGTGTTATATATTAGTTTAAGTTGTGTGAAATCCTTATGTGTTAGATATTAATTAGTTTTTAATTGTTGTGTGCCATATATTGTTCGTTGTGCATTACATATTGGATGTTGTGCTTAAGATATTCGTTTTAGTGTTAGTCATACATATTGTGTGTTACATACTCGTTCTTGTGCGTTAGATATTAATGGTTGTGTATGAGATACATATTCTTGTGTATGCGGTGCCTGAAAATGTTTGTTATGATTTATTGTATAAATATTATACTTGTTTTTTAAATCAAAATTATAAATGTCATATTGGTATCATATGAAAGATCATAAAAAAATTAATTTGATATAATTTTTGTTAAAATTAGACGATAGCCATAAAAGGAGTATCTAACACATTGGTAAATGTATTTCTTATCATACGTATTGTGTGTTAGATTCCAATTATTGTGCGTTAGATATTAGTGATTGTGTATCATATACATATTCTTGTGCATGTGGTAGCTGAAAATGGTTTATTTATTGTATACATATTACACTTAATTTTTTAAAACAAAATTATATATGCCATATTGGTGTCATATGAAAGAGAAAAAAAAGTTATTTAATTTGATGTAATTTTTGTTAAAATCATATTATAATTTAAAAATTTAAATCAATTTTTTAAACTAAAGAATTTTGTATGATGTGACCTTTTACCTCTTCCTAATTTTTAGCTTGTAGAAAGGGTCTAGCGGATACTAATAAAAGAAATTGTGAGAGATTCTCAATTTTACCCTCTATGCAGGCCATGGGTCATTATTTGAATTTGCCAAATGTGCTAGTGTGTGACGCAATGCACTAATTAATTGTGCACCTACCAAATAACAACCGTCCGATTCTCTTAATTAAAAGCCATGATTTGTTCTCATTTCTCACAATAAGGGGTGTTCTCATTATATATAGTACATTTCAAAATATATAATTATGAAAAATTTTGTCATGTTTTCTTCTCATTAAGTAAACTTTTAGATTTTCTTTCTAATTTAGTATCACGTATATTAATTCTACTATATACACGTTGCATGAGAATTGAATTTAGGTTAGAATTCAAACTACATTAATTTAAAACTACAACATTAGAACCCCTTTTACTACAATAGAACTCATGTTAAATTGTCAATAGAATTCAGATCGAACACTAGAATTCATGTTAGAGTACTAAGTAATTATAAAATTTAAAAATACAATTATTAATTATGACTTTTTTTTGTGTTCGATCTGAATTCAACAAAATTCTGTACATTATTTATGTAAAACTTTCTCAATATTCATAGACCAATCGTCTATCATATCAGACCAGGTCAGATCAAATCACAATTAAATAGACCTGATCAGACCAAATCAGAAAATTTTAATTTCATTAAAAATATTTTTAAAGGAGCCCTATCTAAAATTTCGAACTCAATATTGAAATAGAATTCAACAAATCTTCTAAAACAATCTACAGATTCTAATGTCGTGTAATAACACTAATAAACGAAATAAGGATGTTTTTAATTGGATTAAAATATTCGGATCTCGATTGATCCGTTTATGCCTCGTCTGCTCTATTCTGGTCTTTTTTTTAATCTGATCTGGTTTGAGACTAAATTGCTCCAATTAAAAACATTTTAACACGCCTAAAACTCATCCCCTATATAAAAAAGGTTATCATACATGACTCTTATTTTTTCTAGAACATTCAAACAAAATTGCACTCAATTTATCTTCGGCCATAACTTCAATCAAATGAGTTTGAAAAACAAGTCCAACTTTGCTTATTTTGATTCTTACACAATTCAACGTGAAAATGAATAGTTACATACTCTGTATTTATTAAAAAGTTGCTTTATAAGACTAATGAGCTGAAAATAAAGATTATCAAACGTGCCCTTAATTTTTTTTCTAGAATTGCACTCAAATAGAATTCATACTATATGATACACTATTATCTTGAGAGAAGGAAGAGCTATAGAGAGAAGTGAATCCATATAATGAATTGTGTGACTCCTTTACATGGTTCCTCAAAGGGGTATTTATAGGAGAAGAAAGGGTTGTGCCTCCAGGCTTGGGCCCAGCAGGCCCATATACAGTACTCCCTTCGGTTCTTAATTAAGCTCCTGGTTTGACTTCACACATATTAAGAAAATAAATTTTACTTTATTGTGGAGTGCACTATTTGGCACTGTTTTGGCACTGTTTGGCGTTGTTTTGACACTGTTTTCGTGTAAATCATTTGCCAAATAAAGAAAGGTTTGAAGTAGAAACTTTAATATGGATTATCCCAAAAAGAAAAGTATGAACTTAATTACGTGACGGAGAGAGTATAAGACCAATAAATAGCTAATAAATGGGGTTTAGTCTACTCTAACGGTTTAGAAAAATAAAAGATAACATTTTTTCTAAATACTTAAAATTAAAATCAAATCGTCCTATTAAAATATCGAATAATTTAAAAGTTAGTCAAAAATCAATTCAAAATCATGAATTTGCAAAGGAAACAAATATATATATATATATATATATATATATATATATATATATATATATATATATATATATATATATCCAAAATACAAATAATGCTTTTTCTAAAAACCAAAATACAAAATAAGATCAAAATCAACATATCAGATCAACTACGCAAGGCCGGGGTATTACAAAAGAAGATTGCATGGTTTAGACTTCAATTTGGCAATATTGGTCAAATGCTCATTAAAAACCAGTTTTTGTTATACGATTAAAATATTTATAAAAAAAACAAACAATGTTTTTTCTAAAAAAACAAAATACACATTAATACTGCTTTGTTGCAAATAAGATAAACAATCCAAACTAGTGTTAGTATCCAAACGAGCAGACGGACTCAAGGTCGTCTTTTAGGAAGTGCAATAGGTGCTTCGCACCCGGCCGTCCCGTCAACTAGCTGATCGATGTTAGGTAGAGGAAAGGGGTCCATCGGGCATGCCCTATTGAGGGCACATCCTCCAAGTTGGGGGCTTCGGTGTCAGGACCACGTTTGCCAACCATTCCGGGTACAATACTTCCTTGATGTGTTTGATAGTCAAGAGCATGGCTACCTCCTTCTTCACGAATTCCATTCGTTCCACCGAGAGGTGTCTCCTCTTCTGCTGGATCGGCTTCACCGTCGGGTCGACCGCTAGCTTGTGAACGGCCACACTCCGGTCCAACCCCGGCATATCCTCAGGGCCCCATGCAAAGATCACACTGAACGTGACCAACACTTGGATAATCTTCTCTCTCATCCCGGCCGGGAGCCCCAGCCCGATTTTGATCTTTCGCTCTGGGTGCCCGGGATCGATATGAACTTCTTCAACCTCGGAGGTGGGCTCAGCGCGGAGCTGGCCATCCTCATACTTCATGGCTTTGCTGTTGATAGTGTGGACCCTGAGGTCCCTCTGTCCGAGTTGTTTGCACGCCTTCATGTAACAACTCCGGGCCATCCTTTGATCTCCCCGAGCTATCCCGACCCCGTTCGGAGTGGGGAATTTCATACATAAATGCTCCTGAGAGATAATGCATCTCAAGTCCTCCAGCGCGGGTCTTCCCAGGATGATTTTGTGCGGACAGGTTAAACGTACAACGATGAACTCGATGTTCAACCTCGTCACACAGGGTTCCGAACCCACCACCACGGGCAACACCACACTGCCTTCCGATTCGATTGAGTCCCCGGTAAACCCGGACAAAGGTGTTCTTACCGGACTCAGATCCGCCCCGCTCAGACCAAGGCCTTGGAATGTGTCATAATACATTACATTCACCGAGCTTCCATTGTCCACTAAAACTCGATGAACGATTGTATTGTTGATCTCCACCTTAATCATTAAGGCGTCCCTATGCGGTGGTGACATGGGTGGTAAGTCATCATCGGTGAAGTAGATCGGATCTCTTCTCATCTTTTTTTCTGCAGGTACTCGGGTAATTTCCCCGACGTACAAGGATCGAGCCCATCGCTTCCTTTCGCCCGATGTGTCCCCTCCTTGGGGGCCTCCCACGATGTAGGAACATCTGTGATGCTTCCGGGCTCCCTCTCCTAGGTCACACTCGTCATCCTCGGACAGAGCTCCGAGTTCGCGCTTCTTTGATGGTTGGTCAAGGGGCTGTTTCTCCTTGGACGTGGTGGCTTGATCGGAACGCCTCCATGTCAGGTTCCTCCCTCTCTGGGCATTTCCCGGTTTTCCTACAAATTGGCCCAAATATCCTTGTTTGATAAGTGCCTCGATTTGTCTACGGAGAACTATGCATTCCTCCGCATCATGCCCAAAAATTCCGGTGAAACCTGCAGTACTGGTCGGTATTGCGTTTGGCAGTGACTACGTCACATTCCTCTGGAAAGGAAACCAAGCTCTGCTCCTCGGCGTAGTCAAGGACCGTCCCGACCGGTTGAGCTAAAGGTGTCAGATGTTTGGTAGGTAGGAGCGGACCGTTAGGGACGTCCGTCCTCCCCTTATTCCTATTCTTCTTACCTTTGATCCGGCCGCCCTTTCCACCAGACTTCCTATCAGCGTCTTCATCATCTGGGTCACCGCGTTTTCCCTTGTCCTCCGTGTCTTCTCTCTATCCATCCTCTTCATCTCTCTTTCTCTGTTCAGCGTCCTCTGCCTCAGCCTGACGGTCTGCCCGCCTCAGGGCTTCCTCGTATAAAGCGGGTGGATTCCTAACAAAATCCTTATAAAGTTCTCCCGATCGGATAGAATTTGTCAGCATTGCCACTCCGGTCCTGTCGTCAAGGCCCTGGACCTTGACCGACTCGGCCCTCCACCTTGCCAGGAAAGTGGACAGAGCCTCCTTCTTTCCTTGCTTCAGGCTGAACAGGTGACTGAAATTCTTCTTCACATCTCGTGAGCCGGCGAACCTCAAGAGGAAGTGCCTAGCCGACTCCCTGAAGTTCCCGATGCTCCCATCGGGCAGTGTGTCATACCACTCACGAGCCAGACCATCTAGAGTAGCCGCGAACCCTCTGCATCGTATGGCATCTTCGTACCCCATCATGACCATATATGACAGGTAACATGATATGTGGTGCTGCGGGTCTGAAGTGCCCTTGTAAGTATCCACATTGCAAGGTTTGTAGCCCCTTGGCAACGGAGCCTCCATTACAGCACGAGTGAAGGGCTCCGGGATATGGAGGTTGGCCACGTACGGCTCTCCCCCAACAACCCTCCTCCTTAGCTCGTCCAATCTCAATCTGAGATCCTCCACAGCTTCGGGCGCTGGTTCCACCGGCATGCGCTCAGCACGGGGCTGGATCCGCACATGGGATTCTGCGACCCTTTCACGCGCATGAAGTTGACGGCCACCACGGCGTCCTTCTATGGAACCGGTTTGACCGCTCGGACGGCGGGAATGATGAGAGAAGTCATCCCCGCCCTCCAATGACGAGACTCGCCCCCCCCCCTTCCGGGTCGTAGAGGCTGCTCGGCCTGTCGGGGCATATGCTCCCTCCGGGGCAAGGATTCCCTTCGCGATTCGTCCAAACTGGTAGGTCGCCCTTCATATCTCCCAGAGGAAGTCTCGATGTCCTCAGGGGTGGTGTGTCTAGGAGTTTCATGATTAGCTCTCTGCGGCATCATCCCCTGGAAATTCTGAGCCAAAGCCTCAATGGCGCGCGTGGCCTCCTGTAGCGCCCGCACTCCAGCGTCAAGTCGGTTCGTGCGCGGAGCCCGACGACGGTGACCTCCGATCCGATCATGAATAGATTGTCTGTCACGACTGCGGCTTAGCGAACCTCTCAGGTCCCCTGTGCTCGCCAAATGGTTCCGGAGATCTCCCAACGGTCTCACTACCTGACTTCTCACACGATGGCCATCGGGCTGTTCTGAATGCTCAGTGTGAACGGAAACTCGCTCTTGCCTTGATGTTCCTGCCATTTTTCTCCTCGAAGATTCTACCGAAAACTGAGAGAATAGCTCTCAATGAAAGCACCAATATTGGTAGAAAATATGTTGAGTAGAAAATTCTGCAGCAATTCAGTATGGTAAAAGTGACGTGTCCAATACAAAAGAAGGGGCGGCCTATTTATAGGCGCTTACAAGAGGTCCGTGCTAAGGCCAATGGGCTTGGCCCAATTAAACAAATAAAACAAGAAGCTTGATCCAAGGCTAATGGGCCGATCGGTCGGCCCAAGAGTTAAACAAATCATTCCACGGACCATCTTCTCTAGCCGGACCGTGTGCTGGGCCTGGTCCGAGCCCGAGCCCAGGCGTATTGGGTCGATAGTCTTGGACCTGGCCCATTATCCCAACATGTGTAAACAAAATTAATGGGAGTGTGAGAGTGTATAAGCAATTGGATAAGTAGATAATAAGTGTATAAGAAGATATACTTAATATATATATTTATAAGTAGATAATAAGTAGATTAACTAGTAATATATAAAATTATGTTTATAGTATATATAATATAAGTATATTACTATAAGATGAGTAATACACTTATATATAATACTTTAATATATATAAGTATATATTTAGTATATGTAATATGTAAATATAAGTAAAAAAAATTAGAGATAATTATATATGTAATATGTAAATATAAGTAAATAAATATAAGTAACAATAATATAATAATTAGATATTAATATAAGTAGATAATAAGTAGATAATAAATTTTATAAATATAATATATGTAGTTATAAATTTGAGAAGATGAAGATGGAGAAGATTAGTAGAGAATAGAGATTAGAGAGTATGAATATTTGGAGAAGATGTTTAGTAAGTTGTATAGAAAAAATGGAGTATTTATAGATTTTTAGTACCCCACCCGCCACCCCCACCCCCACCCGCCACCCCACCCCGGGACCCCCTGCCAGGCTCCCAACGGCTATAAAGCCGTTTGGGTTCAAATGCAACGGCTCTAAGGCCTGTTTGGCTGGCCAAACAAAAAAAAATTAAAGAAATAGCCGTTAGGCCCGGACCGGGCCCGAACTGGCCGGGCCGGGCCTCCTAATTGATGAACCGCGCCTGAACCGCCCTAATCTCCCGGGCTGGGTCAAAGCCCACACCGGTTATTAGATACCCGGTCCGGGCCGGGCCGGGCCGGTTCCGGTTCCGGGCCGGTTGAGTCCACCCCTACTTGCACATTTAAGAGTCATATATCAAGAATTAGAATTTTTAAATGGTTCGTACTTCGTAGCGAGTAAATCAAGGTGAAGGAGAAAGAGGGAGGGAAGCCCATCTCTTGCGCCGACCTAAGCTATACAGGGCATCTCATTACATAAAGGTCTGCATATTAATTAGTTTAAGATGCCTTGGGATGGATTCCTTCAGAGAGCCAAAGGTCTCTGCTAATATGAGAGTTTTCTTCAGAAGTCGAAGGTCTGCTGCTGCGATGGAAGAGGGAAGGGCACGCGAGGGAACCACAGCGTACACACAGCTTTTTGACAGATTGAAAAAGCTGAATTTGGTCAAACCCGCCAATATTTGGCTGAAACGCCATTTACCAATGGGCCTGTTTGGCAATCGGGGGTTAGCGGTTAGTGGATTGAGTCAGCGGGTTCTAAACAGCTTATTGAGTCGGCGGGTTTGACCGGCGGATCCGTTTGGCGAATTACATAAATATGTTTGATAACTTAGCTGTTTGCTTTTAGCGATTAATAGATAAAAAGACAAAAAAGGACATTAACACATTTAAATATTTCTTTTTTTGTTTGTTTAATACTGCGTGTGATGTTAGCACAAAAAAACATATACGAATCATATACATAATTTTTATTTAAGAAGAAACAAAAAAAACAGGGTATAAAATAAAAACCAAAAGCATGAGCAACCACAACTATAACCAAGGACTCAAAAATCATCATTCTTTCACTATTCCGTATATGCTCTTTGTTTTGAACTGCATTTAATTCATACTACATAATAAAATAAAATATGGAATTGAAGGTGTGAGAAAAGAAAAGGGAAAAGGTGCAAATAAGCCCATGTACTAACCAAAAAAGGTCAAATAAGCCCTTATTTAGGAGGTTCTTTCCGGCCGTCGCCATTTGGGGTGGTTCCCGGTGGAATTTTTTGATGAAATTTTTTGATCATCTTATTCATGAAGTCTAGTTTACTCATACCAAATTTCAGCTAAAACTTCAGTCGGGAAGGCATTCAAATGAATTCTTGAAAATAACTGCGCAGTTAGAAGCGCAGTTATCTTCAAGAATTCATTTGAATGCCTTCCCGATTGAAGTTTTAGCTGAAATTTGGTATGAGTAAACTAGACTTGATAAATAAGATGCTCAAAAAAATTCATCAAAAAATTCCACCGGGAACCACCCGAAATGACGACAGCCGGACAGAGCCTCCTAAATAAAGGCTTATTTGACTTTTTTTGGTTAGTACATGGGCCTATTTGCACCTTTTTCCAAAAGAAAATGATTTTTAGTATGCAATATACACATATAGCTTTGTGGCAATCATGACCAACTTAGTTGCCCATACCCACTTTTGTTTTTGAAATCGTGGCATAAATAGGGGACGTTTCTAAATACCTATCTGACCTGGTGATTCTTTTCTTTAGAGAGGCGAAGAAGGCCTTGCGAGAGAGAAAGGTCTACGTGACGACTTTTGCTTGGGAGTGTGAGTATGGAAGAAGAAGAATACAGAAGGGTACGGTGAGAATTGATAATTTATCCCTAATCGCTGATCCCTAAACGCTCCACTTATTAGCGTTTTAATTTTCAGGGGTTTGGGCCAAAACGCCAAAGTAACCCGCCATTTCCCAAACACCTATTTTCAATGGTTTGAACAGTTAAAACGTCATTTTTAGTCAAATCTGCCAAAATTTGGCTAAAACGCCATTTATCAAACATGACCATTGTGTGGTGGAGAGTTGTGCAGAGAAGAGAGAAATGTATAAAAAAATGTTGTGAATCACAAAATCTTTGTCAAAAAGGGAAAGTGAAAGTTTAATTTGATACGAACGAAAAAGAAATTTGGAAGTTTATTTAGGGACGGGGGAAGTAATAAATATTTAGATTTGGCATCTTACTTTCAAAAAAAAGGAAAAATTGAAAATAACAATCACAACTATTACCGGTCCGCTAACAATAATTCCAACTATTATATGCGAATCGCCAATAATTGAGATTTTTTTTTTGAAAGAAATCAACTCAACTTGCATTAGTCATATCAAAGGACAAAGCTTCAACAATACAAGAAGGGGGAATACCCATCCAAAATTGACAATCAGACATAGAACTAGCTGCTCTAGCCAACTCATGAGCCACTATGTTTGCTGATCGTTTAACAAAAGAGAAAGAAATATTAGCAAAACCTTTACTAATAAGTCTAATATCCTCTACTATAATACCAATCGCAGACAAACTGGAACCGTTTTGAATTTCAGAAATAGCAAGCAAAGCATCATATTCCACCTCCACGAAGTCCCAGCCCTGGTCTTTAATCAAACTCAAGGCCTCCCGAATGCTTAGCAATTCAGCTTCAAGAGAAAAGCAGCTGCCCCGCCCACTTTTAATGCCTCCCGAAGTAATAAATATTTAGATTTGGCATCTTACTTTCAAAAAAAAGGAAAAATTGAAAATAACAATCACAACTATTACCGGTCCGCTAACAATAATTCCAACTATTATATGCGAATCGCCAATAATTGAGATTATTATTTTTTTTTTTGAAAGAAATCAACTCGACTTGCATTAGTCAGATCAAAGGACAAAGCTTCAACAATACAAGAAGGGGGAATACCCCATCCAAAATTGACAATCAGACATAGAACTAGCTGCTCTAGCCAACTCATGAGCCACTATGTTCGCTGATCGTTTAACAAAAGAGAAAGAAATATTAGCAAAACCTTTACTAATAAGTCTAATATCCTCTACTATAATACCAATCGCAGACAAACTGGAACCGTTTTGAATTTCAGAAATAGCAAGCAAAGCATCAGATTCTACCTCCACGAAGTCCATGCCCCGGTCTTTAATCCAACTCAAGGCCTCCCGAATGCTTAGCAATTCAGCTTCAAGAGAAAAGCAGCTGCCCCGTCCACTTTTAATGCCTCCCCCAACGAAATCCCCGCTGCTGTTGCGAACAGCCCACCCGAACCAGCTGCCCGTATGGTCCCTCACTGCATCCACATTCATTTTACACCATCCAGGCTTTGGTAATCGCCAAACCTGAGCTCCTAAAGCTGTCACCTTGGCCTGGTCCTTCTGCTGCGCAAATAGCCAACCATCAACAAAGCAACTTGCACTAAACATAACTTGGGAAGCATTCAAAGTTTTGTTTTGCCAAACCCGTCTGTTTCTTTCCTCCCATAAGCCCCAGCAGCCCCAAACAACTTTCTCTAACTCAGGTTTCTTCTTGGCTTGGAAAATCAGCTCCAGACAATGCAAAAAGTTTCCACCTGCCGCACCATTGACATCCCACCCAATTGCTTTCCAACCTTCGATCGCTACCGGACAGCGGACAAAAAGATGCAACACCGACTCATCATCCTTTCCACAAAGCCCACAAACCTCTTGGCAATTCACCATCCGGCTGCGCAAATTCTTCGTAGTGGGCAAACAATCCGAACAAAGTTGCCAAAAAAAAGATTTAATTTTTGGCGGCAGCCTACAATTCCACATCTCCGTCCAGCCAACCCACCCTTCGACCTGAATATCTCCAGCTAATCGACGATAACAACTACGGACAGAAAATCTGCCGCTCGCCTCCCAACGCCACACCTTTCTAAAAACTTGTGTCACCCTCTTACGGGACATTTAAAAGGGGACGGAGGGAGTATTCATTTCTAGTAATGTTGTGTACATGACTTTTTGTTGTATCATGTTTGTGCAATTTTACAACTTAATTAATATAGCTTAAATCTTAGCTCTCAAGGTTCAACTATAAATTAAATAAGAACTACGGAGTAACATAGAACGAAGAAGAACGTTGAAGATTTCTAATATATTATATTCTTTTTTATATTTTCACATGAACTTAGGTAAATTAAAGATGATATTTATTTCGTGCGTCATCGTTTTGCTATACTTTTTCTTAGTTGTGTTGCACTATTTGTGTAGTTGTGAGTTTTAGTACTACGTATGCAATTTCTTGTATTTATATCAACATTTCATGTGAGTTGGTTGGTGTGATGATATATACTAATTGTAAGATTTATTCAAAAAATTTAGCATGTGTTTGGCATTGTACCGTACCGTTTTGTACCGTTCCGAAGCAAAATTGTACCGAACGGTTCCATCCTTGGAACCGTACCATACCGGACCGTTAAAAACCTCACAGATACATTACGAGTTTTACCAATTTACCGGACCGTTCTGGACCGCGCCTACCCCTAATAAATATCATTAATGTAACTATGTAAGGGGAGGAGCAGGAATTGAACCATCTAAAATACCCAAAAAATATGAGACACGAGAAATGACTCAAACTGAGTACGCCACGATAAATTAATTAAACCATAAATATTGTAATTAATTTAGTAAATGTCAATATCTTGTAAATCATAATAAATCTAGTATCAAACATTAATTTTCCAGAATTAAAAATTAAGAACTAAAAAAATATTGTACTTAATAATTACGGAGTATTAAATAAAGTAGCAAGTTTTACAAAGTTCGACTTGTTTGGTTCGGTTCGTTTTTGAGATGTGAAAACAAAAACCGAAACCAAACAACTTCGGTTCGGATCGGTTTTTTGAGTTCGATTTTGGTTTTCTAGCGATTCCATTATTTTGGTTGCCGTTCGAATTTTTTCCATTCGGTTTTAGATTTTCTATTTTGCCAAGCCACCTTACTAAAACCTTTGAGACGGAGGATGAGCAGATCGTAATATCGAAGAGTAGGAAAGCACTGATAAACCTAGACAAGTAGTGAGTAAAGAGGCCCAATACATCCCCGCCATCGTAATAAATCAACCGCCACGGACGATGAGCAGATCACCTGAAAACATGGCGGAAGCTTCTTCGGATAATCAAACACAGCTTTCGTTTCTTCCCCAAGACATCCTTTTCCAGATTCTGGTACGACTTGGCGCAAGATCTCGGGGAAAGCTAAGTTGCGTTTCTAAATGCTTCCGTTCCATATTGACCGATCCAAGCTTCCTCGAGTTTCAGCGAAATTGGTCGGCGCCCCCTACCCGCGGCACAACCATTCTCTTCTCTATTTGGCATATGTTTAAAAGGGGTGATTATCACCCAATCGGGTGTCCCATGACCGATCCCACTTCCACGCCAGAGCAGTTTTACACCATAAATTTTGAAGAAAATCAGGCGGGAAAGCTCCTTCAAGCAAAACGTGTTAGGCATCTGGACAGAGGATGGTTTGGAGACAGAAGAGCTGTGTCTTTTGCAAAAGATCGAGTATGTTTCTTCACCCAGCATTCGGAATTGATGGTTTTTGACCTTGCCTCAGGACAACATACTTCTCTCCCGAAAACTCCCAGCAGCAGATTTACTTGTGCACTCTTGGGTTATGATGGCGTTTCGGGGACATACAAGGTTTTGAAGGCGGAAAATAAGTATTCCTGGGGGGCAGTGACAGTGCCAATGAAGTACTGGGTGTTCACACTGGGTGTGGATGAAGAGTGGCGGGAGATCAAGACCCCTGAATTGTTTTACCTTGGCGGACGTTTCATCAATAGCGTTTGCATTGACGGCGTGATCTATTCCGACAATGTGCTCTATGACGGCACGTGGACTACATTGGGAAGATGCACTGAGCTGGTGGCATTTGATGTCAGGTCGGAGAGTTTCCACCTGATACCTCTTCCTCCGGCAACACGTGGCGAAGATGTCAGAAAATCCTCGTTACTAGAACTCCATGGGCAGTTTGCTGTCATTCATGTCAATCAGAACAAGCAAATCATTGTTTGGACCTTGAAAACGGGAGTGAAATCGCCATCTCGCTGGAAGAAGCTTGTTGTCCCCTTTCCATCAAATGAAGAGATTCTGGAGGCAGGCAGTGAATTCTTTTCCAAGAATACTTGTATTACTGCTACTTCAGCCGGAGATATTGTATTGTTAATGCTGAATGGAATACCCTCACTTTGGGTTTTATCGAATAAGTTCGGGGTGGGCTCTGTTTGGAAGAAATTTCGAATTAAGGGGATTGCTGAATGCTCTACGTGTGTTAAAATATCATCTGAAGTACTGGTTGCACAAAACATTGCAGAGAATCTCTTTCACTTGGAATAAGCAAACGCCATACTAGTCTGATCTTCTAAGTATATTTAAATCTAAGAAGAGTTCTGTCTTCTTTCACTTTTCGATACTTTTGGAGTTTTTTTTGAATGAGTTTTGGCCTGTATTAGAACATTTTAGAGTACCAGCGATGAATACACGGTGTTTCAGTTCATGTCCTCTCCCTGCCTTTAGGTTTTGTCTAATTGTTATTATGCTACTTGTTCAATTCGTAAAGTTCAGTTTTTTATTGTTGAGTTCTTCTTTTAGCAATAAGCTTGATTTTTGCTCCTTATGTAGTGTTCTTATGAGGTAAGTAAATGTTTGGTTCTATGTTGAGTAAATGTTTTTTTTTTGTGGTTGGACTGGTTGCCTTAGTTTTGCAGAAGGCCAGTTGCATCTCACTCACATTAAGGAAGAAGGTTTGAATTGTCATCAGAGTAACTCAAGATTACTCTGGTTTCGATGACTACTGTGGGGTTACAAAGGTCTATAGAATTGTACCAGTGTGTTTTATCTTCACTAAAACTTACACTGGATAGTCTTACTCTACTCAATAAATGAGACCTATCAATTTTCATCTTAGATTTATATGCGTTCAGGATAAAGAAACTAAACATTTAGCAAAACTCCTTTCAAAATTCTACCCTATACATGGAGTTGCTGCAGTTGAGCTTTCTATGGTTGATTAACTTGTTTCCAGAGCAGTGATCTATAATTGGGTTATAGAATGTGATCCATACAGAGACTGTATCCTACTGAATTGATTGGTTGCTTAGGAAATATATACTACTAGAGTGTGGGTGAGTTATTTCTCAAACCTTATGATATTAAACTAATTTACTGAACTGGTTTACCCACTGTCCCTTGAATTTTTCAGCCAATTGTTCTTTCCCCCTGTTTTATCAAATTTGGTTACCAGCAGTTCTACAACTGCTCATTTAGCTTCAAATTTGCCGAACTCAACAAAGTAGAAATTCCCCCTAAAATAGCAGTGACTGTTGGTTGCATAATAAAATAGAAGTTTCCCTGAAATAGATAAGCAGCTTTAACCAATGCAGGTATTTATTAATCATCTTCACTAATTCAGCCAAATTAGTTGCATATTACAGGATCGAAAAATGTTAGACGTCCTTGGTTTTCAACCCTCTTTTATAGACTATTTGTTACTCTGTATATAACTTATAAGTTGTAATCCAGAAAGAAAAAAAACAATATGGTGTTCACAGAAAAAAATGCAGGTAAGCTTGTTAATATGCTTTATAAAAAGTATATTTTTTAAAATTAATTTACTCATATTACTCACAAAAAACAATATTAATGTCGCTCATTCGAAAATACCCATTTTTGGAAAGTAGTTTTAAAACAATACTCCGTATAAAATTCGACATAGGAGTAAGAATGGAGTTTCCAAAGTAATCAATTAATTGAGTAGTCTTATAATAACTACCTAATCAAACAAAAAATAGTTAATTGGTAAAGTTCACCCCATATATTTAACACAAATAAGCAAATGCCCTATTTACATTAAATCAATCATTGCAGCCAACATATTACCAAACACTTTCACTTCAGCAGATTAAGCCTTTCAGTCCTTCCAGCCATTCTAGCTGCTTCCAAACGGCCCTTGAATTGGTGCATTGTGACTTTGTATTTGTGGGTGATGCTTAAACACATTTTTACTTAGAAAAATAACTTTAAATATATCGACTATCATCCATAAACCAATAAGAATAGATACTTTAAAAACGATTTTTAATATGACCAACTATTTGAATGTAAAACAAAAATAACATGGAGACATTTTTTCACGAGAAATCCGGTCATATAAGACATCAATAACTAATGGCAACTCATCAAATAAATGATACGTGAAAATACATTCATTGATTAGATATTTTGGTACAACCTTTTGATGAGTTAAATGGTTGAATTTTAGTAAAAAAAAAAATTGTTCTATGTCACTTTTGGTCTATATTAAAATAATTGGTATTATAAAAACTTATTTCAAATATACGTATAATCCTTGGTTCATGGAAGATTGCTTGTATTAGGAAATAGAGTCAAATAAATACATCTACTATTATCAATATATCACGTTGTACTTTGAAAAGTGTCAAACATCTATATACCCTCGACAAACAGTCAGCATGGGAATGGAGCCAAAGACTAACAATTTTTATGCTTTGGAAATATGATTGAATAAAGCAAAGTGGTTTACTAAACTTTCTGTGCTTCTTTGTTGCGAACAGTCAATTCATGCAACTTTGGACGCAATTTTCACAGTTTATCATGTGAAAACAATCTATGTGTGCATACATCCAACTCCTTTAACCCATTGTAGGTGCGAGTTTTCGCGACACTGAGAAATCATGATACGAATGAGTAATGACGATGACTCTCGACAAACTGTCATTTGGATCAAATGATTGGAAAATTACCTGAAATGACCTAGAATATTACCCGACTATCATTTGTTGTTCATTTTACATTCATTTTTCTGATTCTCTATCTTAAGGTTTTCCAATCTATTTTCTACTTGCAATTTATCTCTTGCTTCCTTTTGTTTTCTTATTTTTCTTTCTCTCGTTCTCTATATCTTTCACCATGTTTCTCTTTTACTTTCTCTTTTTTCATCCTTACTTTTCCCCCTTTCTGTTTATCTCATTGGTCATCTACCCCTGCATGATGCATCTTTCCCTCTTAACTTTAATTTTGAGTTCCGCGATGAAAAGGGGCAAGAGTCACAGAGAGATGAAGTATAGAAATTGGAGTGGTTCTCTTTCGTTTTCATCGAAGTCTCAAAACACCAAGCTTCCAGAAACCGGCCTCTACCTTCATTTGTTTCAAACCGTTGGTCTTTGTAGCTTTAATTTCATAGATTAGAAGTTCACTTCTTATTATTTAATACGTATGAGTTAATGAATTATTTATTCAAATTGTCATCTAATATCTAATATTCATTCCATATATACAGTTCAAAAAAAAGTATTTTGGTTTTGTTCTCAATAAAAAAAGAGTGAAGGGAAGAATGATAAAGCAGAAGAAAAATAGGGAGTAAAAGGAAAAGGAGACAGAAACAAAAGAAAAAAAACAAGCGGGACTGATCGAAAATGCAAAAAAAAAAACACAAAATAAAGAAACGAAAGAGAAAACGAAATGAAAAGGAAAAAGGAAAATGTTTCTGACCAGACTGACCTGCTATTGCAGGTTGCTTTCAGGTTATAATCCCTCTTTGATTGTTTTCGGGTAGTCCATGTATCTATATGATATTCTGTCCGTCCCTTAAAAGTTGGTCACTAATTTTCTTTTCTTAAAGAATTGTTCTTTCAGTTGATTTTCTTTCCTCTGCACAAATCTCAACCACACAGTTTTTACTTTATTAATTTATGTGTCTATCAAAATTGGCAAAGTTTCAAGGGATAGAGGAAGTAGTTTTTTAGTAAATGAACTTAAGTGATCATTTTGCAATAGTATAAGGTCTTATTCGATGCCTTTTCCAAGACTAAAAATAAAACAAAAGAAACTTAAGTTATTTTGGAACGATAGTGGTAATCTCCGTCTGATTAGTTGGTTTCTTAAAAGAAGATTACTTATTTATTAATAGTGAAAGTAACAAGAGATAAAACAATACAATAACTCAAGGGTACTATGAGATGAGACGTAGAATCGATTAACCCTTAAGGATCAATCATATTCGCTAACCCCGCAACAATGTAGACGAACCACTAATCCAATAACACGGTTGAAATTGCTACCAAAATGGGATTTAACTAAACAAAACTTATTCAAATAAAAGCAACAAAATAATTCAAGCATCTCGGTTTTACCATCCACCAGGAAGGGGGAAGAGGGTTGTTTATCCACCTCCAACGGAAGCATCTCGAATTTACTAGCCACCGCGAAAAGAGAAACATTTGACCAGTCACCTCCAAATGAATCATCTCGTTTATCAATATTTTAGGCGGTGTTGTTCCAGAAGCATCGTCATCTCGCTGTCTTTTATTCCTCTAGGGCACCTGACTCAAACACCAGACTAATGCTCTCTCTCCATCCTCAACTGGCATCCTTCCAAAAGCTAGGTTTAAGCTCTCCATTAATGGCCAACAAAATGAGCATCGGATCCAAGACAAAGAAAAAGATCGAAGTAACAAAACACACGATCAAAAGCCCAAACACATTAATAATCATTAATAATTGGAACGGACCAAACTTTCACCAGACAAAACTCTGCCGGACAAAACAACACCGGAAAAAACCTAAGAGTGAAGAAAAACCAATAAAGCACACCTAAATTACATATGAAGCTCACAAAACACCGAATGAAGTTGATGTGACTTGTTAGGGGGTGTTTGGATCTGATTCTCAAAACTGATTCTGCTACTTCAAGGAGCAGAAGCAGAAGCTGAAGTGTTTGGGTGAAATTCCAGAAGCACTTTTGGTGCTCTAATTTACTCCCCAGAATCAGTTTTTTTTAGAAGCTGGGGGGTATCAGCTTCTGAAAACTGATTCTGATTCCGCTTCTGCTTTAAAAAAGAAGCAGAAGTAGAATCAGTTCCAAACACCCCCTTAATTTGATCTCCGGCCATACACACGCTCCAATCTTCTCCGTCTATTTAGTTGGAACAGAGGTGGTATTTGGTTGGGGGGGGGGACAAATCTACTTTTTTTTGCAGTGGGAAAAAGTAGGATGAGAGAGAAAAGCGAATTTTTTTTAATGAACTAAGGGTCAGATTGATATTCGAAGTTGCAAAAAAAAAGGTCAAATAAGTCCTTATATAGGAGGCTCTGTCCACCCATCGCCATTTGATCGAGGCGGTTACCGATTTTGGAATTTTTTGACATAATTTTTTGAGCATCTTATTTATTAAGTCTAGTTTACTCATACCGAATTTCAGCTAAAAATTCAACCGGGAAGGCATTCAAATGAATTCTTGAAGATATCTGCGCTTTTAACTGCGCAGTTATCTTCAAGAATTCATTTGAATGCCTTCCCGATTGATTGATTGAAGTTTTAGCTGAAATTTGGTATGAGTAAACAAGACCTAATGAATAAGATACTAAAAAAATTCATCAAAAAATTCCACCGGGAACCGTCCCAAATGACGACGGCCGGACAATAAGGACTTATTGGCCCTTTTTATGCAACTTCGAGTACCAATGTGACTCTTACCTCATTTTTTAATACTGAAATGATAAAACTTAATAAAACCCGCGTGGGGGGATTCGATGTCCGTTTGTCCGGCAACCTCACACAATGGACGACCATTCGACCAATTACCAATGCTCCCAGTACATTCATAAGGCACTCTGAGTCTCTGACTAATATTATATCTTTTAAAGAGTTT